TCCTAGGCTGGACAGTGTCTTTCTCAGCCTTTCGCAATCCGCGCCCAAGTTATCGATGGTAGTTCGCATTCCATCCACTGCGCGCTGGAGGTGCTGCTCCTTGACAATACCGTCTCCTTCCAATTTTTCTTTCTCTCGCTCGGCACTGGAAAGCTCGCTATCTTTCTCGGATATTTGCTGCTCCAAGGCAGCGCGCTCTGTGGTCCAAAGCTGCTCTTTCTCATTGAAGTGAGCTTCCAGGTCTGCGATCTTATCATCCAATTCTTTGGCAGCAGCAGCGAGTTGTTCGTCGTGGGATTGTCGCAGGGCGTCCAATTCACCAGCATGGCTTTGTCGCAGGGAGTCTAATTCATCAGCATGGGCTTTTCGAAGTTCTTCCGATTCTTGTGCGTTCTTCTGGTGGGTTTCTTCCAGCTCTGCGAGCTTGGCTGCCAGTTCCTCACGTGTCGATGAGAGTTCGGTGAGTCGGGCTTGCAGCTCGGTCTCCTTGGATTCCAAAGCAGCGATCTGGGATGCCACTTCTGTCTTAGTGGCCTCCAGCTCGGTGCGCTGGGTTTCGAAGGATTCCTGCAATTGGGCTTTTTCTTTCGCCCATTCGGCTTGACTAGCTTCGTGTTCACTGCGAAGTTCGCACTCACGACTCTCTAGAGCCTCGGCTGCCGTTTTCTCATCCTCCGCCTTGATCTCCTCAAATAATTCAGTGAGCTCCTCCTTCTGTGCCACAAGAGCCTTCTCCTGTTCCTCGTTTTGAGTCTCCAGCGCTTTCTCGTGGGCTTCGGTTAGCTCCTGGATGCTTTCATTCAGCTGGTTGATTTGTCCCTCGAGTTCGACCCTAGTTTCAGAAAGCTCCTCGTTGGACTTCTGCTGGACAGCTATGCCATCTTCAAGGTCCTTCTGCTTCTCCTGCAGATCTCCCAGTTGGAGACGCAACTCACTGATGGTGTGCCTCAACTTGGCATCTTCTTCAGCACTTTCATTGGCTGTCTTCTTCATTTGAGCTTGCAGAGCTTCAATATAGTAGTCTTTGTGCATTAGAGCTTGCTCGTGCAGGTTTTCAATATGCTTCATCTCAGCCTCTCGGCTCGAGAGCTTGCTGTGGGTGTTACGATACCCATTAAGGAGGCTGTTGATATCTGGAAGCGCCGACTGGATGCGTTGAAGAAGCTCAATGTGATCACCGTCGTTGTCTGGGGGAGATCCATTCTCATGGGGTTGGCCATTGCCCATGGACAGGTTTTGAAGGGCCTGATATGATGCTGCATATGATGGATCTGGGATGCTGTAGCTCCTATAATGGCCTTCCGATAGGTGCTGAGGAGAATAATGCCCATAAGGAGGCATCGTTCCGGCAGGGCTCATGACAGGAGATTGAAGAGCATACGTTCCATTCCGGGTGGAAGGCGGTTCATGGGGAGGCATTGGCGCAGCTGGTGGATTATGAGGTGGAGGAGTTGCAGTTGGTGATATAGTTGGGGACATTTGAGGGTAGTGGGATCGTGCAAGCGGGCTACTGACTTTGGGCACCGGTGAGGCAATGTGAGCTACTGGTGAGGCGTAAGGTGCCGGGGAACCTGCGTAGGGTCCGGGTAAGCTGTAAGGTACTGGAGAGCCAGCGTAAGGTGTGGATGAGGTGTAAGGCACTTGGGAACCAGCGTACGGCACTGGAGCGTAAAGCGCCGGTGAGGCGTAGGGTACCGGAGAAGAATAGGCGTTCGGCGAGACGTACGGCACCGGGGAGGCAGCGTACGGCACTGGCGAAGCGTAGGGGTTTGGTGAGGCGTATGGGTTTGGCGACGCGTAGGGGTTTGGCGACGCGTAGGGGTTTGGCGACGCGTAAGGTGGTGGCGCAGAGTAGGGGACAGGTGAAGCGTAAGGGGAATACGCTGATGGTCCGGGATAATAATGTTGGTTATCCTGGGAAGGACTTGACATATACCGTGCTTCAGTCAAGGATGGGGAAGGCAAAGGCACACAGGCGGCCACAGGGGAGAATAGGTCCGCCGGTAGTGATGAGACTACAGTCGTCTCTTCAGGGCGCTCGGCTTGATTGGGCTTGTCTTGCTTGTTATGGTCGTTCAAGGGCTCCTTTGCTTCTAGATCCGGGATAGGCTGAACCACACTTGCTTCTTCCACAGGCGGCTCCTCGGATTCCGTGCCCTCGATGGGAGGCTGGGCCGAGCTTGCTTCGACGGCCGGCTCTTTGGTTTCAGTTTCTTCGATGGGGAGCTGAGTTGAGCTTGGCTCGTCCAAGGGTGGTACTTCGTTGACAGGCTCGTCGACTACAGGTGATGATTGATCCACGACAGGGTCAGGGATGTCTTGGGGTGAAGCCTTGTCGTCTAACGTCTCATGTGCTGATACGCGGGTTTCGTGTACAGGCGATACTGAATCCACGACAGGGTCGGAGACGACTTGGGGTGGAGTGTCGTTGTCGAGTACCTCGTTTGCTAATACGGGGTTGTCGAGTACATGTGGTTCTTGGTCTGCGACAGGGTTGGAGCTGTTTTGGGGTGGATTGTCGTCGTCGAGCACTTCATATGCTAATACGGGGTTGTCGAGTACAGATGGGACAGGGTTGGAGCTGTCTTGGGGTGCAGTCTCGTCGTCGAGTACCTCGTATGCTGATACAGGAAGTGGCGTCGTTACTTCAACGTCTGTATTGCCAGCAGTAGACTCTTCTGTTACTTGCTCTGGTTCCTGCGCCTTGAGTTCAGGGCTGCCAGGAGCAGGAGTAGTGGTAGTTGTCTGAGTCTCTGTGACCTCTGGGCTCTTCCCCTTCTTAACCTTCTTGGTGGCTGCCTTGCCATTTTTGTCTTTGGCCTTGTTCTTCTTGCCCGCGGCCATTGCGGTAGAGTGATGCGTGCCCAAGACTTCTTGCTTCTGACAGACGTGTTACCAATAGGATCAATGTGCTAAATGGAGCATGAGTGATAGTTCCGATCATATGGGATGAATGCACTGTACATTTGCAACAAGCCCTGTGGCGATAGCTCAAGATATAGCCCAAAAAATCGACTATAGTTAAGAGGTATTGAAACTTTGGGATACCTAAAAGCGTAAGCCAAGTGACTTCGGTGGATCGGGCAGAGACCTAAACTCTTTGGCTGTGACCGCGAATGAAGACCCACGAAAGCGCCGATATTTTTGGGGTGTAAGACCAAAAGACCACAGGAAAGGAAAAAAGGAAAGAAAAAGACCAACCCGATCGAATTTTGCAAAAATATCTCAAAATTTACATCCCAACGTTGTCTGGGCACAACAGCGGACCGACCCTTAGCGTATTGATACCCATCCAACCTCCCAATGTGCGAGAGGGCCATCAATTAGACGCCAGTGCCGGGAATTATTGGGGGCAAAAACAAGATCCGAATCCACTCGTATTCCATTCTGAACTGAAGCGAGACCAGTTGGGAGATGCCATGGCATTGGGCATCAAATTGTGGATTTGGGCGATCGAGATAGGTGGGGAACTCGACACCGACAGGCTGACATGTCCGATCGAGACCCGAAGACATGGGAATTGAAATGAGGCGATATAGCAAAAGTGTGGTCAATTGGCAATAGTGAGGCTGCCATCGGACAACACATATTACTAGATGAGGTTTCGAACATACGGCGATATTGGACATGCAGATTGTCTACTCCGGACTTTGTATGCCAAGTAGATCGGGCTTCAGTTTTATTTTGGTGTTTTGTATCTGTACATAGTACTACGCAGAGTGCATTGCATTGCATATAGTACTGATGTATCTATTGATCATGGGAGTCTTGCAATGCGATACTAAATGCATACGACATGACATATACGGAGTAAGTACACTGGGTTGGTTCACCTACCCTCTACACGAACATGAGAGAATGAGAATATCAGATCAATTCCAGTTGAAATATGAGTCCATATAACAATATAACAGTCAGCCTAAATACACCTAAATACACCTGACTATAACTAATAAGCTAACCAATAAACGAAGATCTTAGACCACATAGTTAGGGAGCGACCCTAAGCCCAATACGGACATCACGTGTCATCGACTTTCACTTTCCGCCTCGCCCTATCATCACTCCCCAAAGGGTCATCGATTCATAACCAATTGCTTCCCTCCACACAATGTTCGCTGCCAGACGATCTGCTCCTTCGACGCGGCAGCTGCTGCGCACCCAGCGCCGCTGGGGTTCTCACGCCGCCCATGAGCCCGTGAACGAAGGTCTCGGCGTAAGCTCTTCTCCCCCGCCCACCGCGACCAGACCCGAGTTTGGAAGTAGAGCAAGATATGCCTCGATCGCCCACGACTACTTGGCTAACTCTTCCATGTACACCTAACAGCGCAGCTTCTACGTCACATCTGGCACCATCGCTTCCGCCTTCGTCCTCTACCACGTTTCCAAGTCCATCAAGGAATCCGGCGAGGCATCTTGGATGACCGGCCTCATTAACAAGTGGACGCCTTCCCAGGAGGTCTTCGAGCAGCGCAATGCTATCCACACCGCTATCATGGATAAGGCTGCTTTTGATCGCCACTTGCTTGGCAGTCAAGGCCCAGCCGAGGCCTTCGCCCACAGACAGCCCGAGTATGTCATCTTGTTGCTCCGGAAATGCTTTTCATTGTTGTCGTGCTGACTGTGCTCTTTTTCTTTTTCCCCAGAATGTTGAACGCTGGCTCTCCGTTCAACGTTTCGCCCGGTTCGCAGGCCGACCTGAGCCATGTCGTGGCTCACTACCAGCGCAAGAACCAGGAGATTGAGGAGTCTCGGGTCGCGCGGACGAAGGACGGCAAGGTCGTGTCGCTCTACGATTAAATGGGGGTATCTTTTCTCTTTAGTCAACTGTCTAAGTAGACACGTGTGGAGGAAAAATCATGTACATATACGTTGGGACTTGACGTTCAATCCAGCACCTGATAATTGGATTTTCTTTTGTTTTTGATCTAACACCTAGATCCTCGCCGAATATCGGCTGAATGCTGGTTTTGGATATTCATTTTATTATCGAATTCGCCCTAAGGCCCGCTTGACGGTACAACCTCCAAAACTACTCTGCCCACACCCTCAGATTGGACGTCCAATTTATGCTGCACATCCAGCTCATTGGCAGAGACAGTATCGAGCACGGCAAGGAACTCATCAACGCCACCACCAACTCCGAAATAAACCTTCTTCGCCGCGACGAGAGCCCGACTTTTCACCGAAGCAGTGTTCGAGCGGCGCAGCAGCGCCAAAAGCGTCTCGGAAAACGCAGCCAGCGATGCGGGTGAGTAAATGGTCTCACTAGCAAGAACTAGAGTCTTGCGAGCATTATCACCGGACGAGAAGACCAAATCCACAAACTCGGGCGACCAAGCGCCTGAAATGAAATCAACCGAGATCCCACGCTGAGTAAGATCATCTTTGAATTCTTGAACCAGCTCAGGCGTGATATCCAGCTCTTCGTCTTGCCCTCGTGCAGTTGACACGGCTGAAACAGCGGTTTGAGGGCGGCTATTGTGCCACGTCAAAAGGAGATTCGGGAGCGTGACAAGACGGAGCACGTCAGAGTTGTAGTCTGCAAAAGTAAAGAGTGTCTTTATTTGGCTCTGGCCGGGCTGGGCTTGGCTAAGAAGACGGGCGAACAGTGTCAATGATGGAACTGCTGTGCCTGCGCCGAGCTGTTCATTCATGTTAGCTTTCTTGCCCCTGGTGGCTTTTGGGGGAAAGCTTCCACATGGCGGATGATTTACGCACCTCAATAATATGGATGTCCGCCGGGCTATCGGAGGATTCGTTAAGAATGTCCTCATTGAGGGAGAGCTTGGCTAGATCCAAGGCACATTCCCAAGTTTTGAAGCCGCCTTCATAGAAATTGGGCGTGATGTCGCCTTTTTCAATACCGGCAATAAGCTCTTCATTATCGTGGCCTGCGCTGTCTTCGGCCATGAGCTGGGTGCGAATGTCAAAGATCTCTCGACGAGCGACGGCCAGAGGCGTATCGCTGATTGCGAGCTTATTGTAGAAGATTTGAGAGGGAAGAATTGAAAGCTGTCATCTTGATTAGATTTTGACTCTGTTGGAAAGGTATGATGCATTTCAAAGTAATGAATTCATGCTTTCATGCTCTCGTCGATGATACTCTTCGGCCCGAATTGGGATTTAGAACATACTCGCCAACTCAAAACATTATAATACGCATAATTGAGAATGAAATATATTGCTTGATCACTTACCCATTCATTCATATCATGTTTACTCGCTTTCACGAGCTCAGGAAGAGAATTGCCCACGGCTTGCTGAGAAGGCACATCCGAGAAATCTTGATTGATCTCTGAATCGTCAATGTCGATATCATCCCCCGAGAATCCGAAACTGAAGGCCATCTTCACTTGAATAAGACGGCTGTCTCTCCTTCCAAGACACCTAGTATTGTGTAGGTGGGTTGTCTGAAGTGGCCCGGGTGGTGAATTTGTCGAAATTGCAGGTTGTGGACAGACTCGCACCAGTTTTGGTAAAAACTGTATATTCAAGGGCAAGGAAGAACTGATCAAATAGTAATTTAGTTCCGAGGCCTTCTTTTCACAGATGCTGTGATCTGATTTCAATACTCCGTACAAAAAATTGCATGGTGGAATGATGACTAAGCGGATATCTGGTGGGGACTTAGTTAGGCAAAGAATTATTATTTATACAAACCTTGGAGACAACGGATTGGAATGCTATTTTGAAACTGTTAGAGTCGGGCTGTAATAACTGTAATATGATTTTGTAATGCTCTAACTCATAATGCCATATCCAAGTGATTAGAAACTGATGCTGTCTATTCCAATATTAAATGCAAGCCGAAGACATGAACTTTAAATTAAGGGCTGCGTTTAAGCCTTCTGAGCCACCGCAGCCAAGCTGAGAGCCTGCAACACATCAGCGTGCAGATCCACTGCGTCCTCAATACCACAGCTCATGCGCACAAGGTCATCGAAGACACCGGCCGCCTCGCGCTGTTCCTTGGGAATGCCTGCATGGGTCATGCTGGAAGGCACCTCACACAGACTCTCAACACCACCCAGACTCTCCGCAAGAGTGAAGATCTTAGTGAACTTGCAGAAATCGTGTGCAGCCTGCTGGCCTCCCTTGATACGGAAGCTGAGCATACCACCGCCCATACCATCACGGTGCTGCTTGAGGGCAATAGCGCGGTGGGGGTGGGAGTCAATACCGGGGTAGTTGACGGAGATGACGTGGGGAGAGGACTCAAGGGCCTTGGCGATAACAGTGGCGTTCTTTGACGCCTCGCGGGCGCGCAGATGCAAGGTCTTCAGACCGCGGTGAGCGAGCCAGCAGTCGAATGCGGAGGGGACGGCGCCAATCGCATTCTGCAGGAAGCCGAGGCGCTCTTTAAGGGTCTCGGAATTGAAAGCAGCCACGCCCATAAGGACATCCTAGGTTCGAGTTAGCTGGATTGATACTGGCAAGGTGTAAATTGGCAGTAAGAACTCACGGAGTGGCCATTAATGTACTTAGTTACGGAGTGAACAACAATATCGGCACCGTGGTCCAATGGATTCTGGACGTAGGGGCTCATGAAAGTGTTATCGACAACAACCTGAATGCCATGCTGGTGGGCAATGTTGGCAACAGCCCGGATATCCACCAAGCCAAGGGTTGGGTTGGAGGGGGTCTCAATCCAAACGAGCTTGGTCTCGGGGCGGATCAACTTCTCCACATCCGACTCAATGGAGGGGGTGAAGGTGACCTGGACACCGTGCGCCGAAGCAACCTTGGTGAAGTATCGGTGGGTACCGCCGTAAACATCGGAGACCGAAATGACATGCGAGCCAGCAGCAAGAGATTGGAGGATATTGGCCGTAGCAGCGGAGCCGGAAGAGAAGGCCAGAGCGTACTTGGCATGCTCAAGAGCCGCGATGGCTTGCTCGAAATTATCACTGCGGGGGGTATTAGTCCGCCTGATCGATGTGTCAAACCGTTGGACTAATAAACTGACCGGTTGGGGTTGGAGCTCCGCGTGTACTCGTACAGACCAACGGGGTTTCCAACACTAGTCTGAGCATATGTGGTCGACAGAGAGATCTAGTCAAAGCATCGTTAATTCCGCCTTTCTTTCTCTCCTCCCTAGATTGATAAGCTTACCGGAGCAATGACAGCGCCGGTCACCGGGTCATGAGGCGAGCCGGCGTGGACAGCCAGTGTCCCAAAGCCACGCTCAGAAGTGTGTCCGTTTTCAATGGAACCCATTGTGTATAGAGAAGATGATTTTAAGGCAATTGAAAGAGGCGAGGGGTAGGTTATATGTTTATCGATAAGATGAGATCACCCGCTTTCTTTGTATGACTTGTCTGAAACCGGAATGAGACACGGATTGCGAATCTGATTGATAATCAGGAGCGATGGCGAATAACAGATTCAATGTCTGCTTTTGGATGTTTTCGTGCTGAAAAATTCAACCGAGGGAGAAAAAATTCGTCAGAATCCTTTTACATACTACCAACCTTGGGGGGCAGATGACGATGGATCGCGCGATTTCGACTGGACGAGAGACCGACGGAGCTCCACCGGCTGCCGGCAATTCTGCTCGGAGAACCGTTTGGATACGCCGATGAGTCGGAGAGTCGGAGAGTTCGGCACTTGCCGCATTGATCTCCTAATTGGTGTGTACTATACTACAGTTATGCAGTATATTTTATATGCATGTCCGTTATTTTTGGAGGGAAGTACATAGTTACACTTGCTCAGGTGTATCCCCTGTCAAATAGCTTTACACTGTCATCTCGGCTCACTACACATGGTCACTCAGGTATCTCTATATTCACTGGCATTGATTCGTATGGGTATCTGATCTGACTCTAAAACAAATTTTATGGGCGCTGAGAACGGGTCGCGATAGGCGAACAATAAGACAGTCTAATGAGACATCAAATGGTGGTTTGCTGGTAGCAGCAGCCTACCACCAAGTGATGGGTCCCGTTCCACCCATTTGCATCGAGCCCTAAAACATGGTTAGTGAGAGTTAGAAAATCAATACGGAGAGACCAACAAGAATAGAATACGGAGGGCGCCTCTCCTGTGGGGTTTCATCTGCAACATCTGGAGCATTGGGGATTTGGTCATGCCACTCTTCTGATTCGACTCGGAATCGTACAACCTCTCCTACATCGAAGAAGAATTCCGTTCCACCTTCACTCTCCCAGATCCAGACTTGCTCGGCATAGTCGCTGCAAGACACATTAGCATTTTAGATTTGACATGAGGGGAGAATCAGCTCACAATCGGGACTTCTCCATAAGCATTTGTGGCGGGATGAGAATGTCATTGAAGAATTCGATGCCAACTGGACTTCGTTAGTTTTGACGAGCACTGAGTTTTCATGCTGGAAACTCACTCTTAATTCCATGTTCTGTGCCGCTAGCGATCTTTCCAAGCATGATCTCCCCTTTGAAGGGTCGGAAAACAATCATGCGGAATTTAACTATGATAGTCAGTAAAGAGCTCACACTCGAGAAAGGGGTGGCATCTACCGTTGACATTAACCAACCCCGTTCCGTGGCCAATCAGGCCATCGGAAGACTCAAGTAGGTCATAGAAGCTGATGCAGAGGCCAATTTTTTGAATAACCTAGAGCGCGGAATAAGGATCGAGAAACTGAAAGGAAGAAGCTTGAATTGCGTACTTTATTGGCATACTTTGCATTGATGTTGTCTTCAAGTGCAACTGCACTGAACTTGGAGAAATCCTCAGGTGAAATCTGAATCAAGTCCGATATGGTGGTCTGCCGGTGTTAGAAAAAAGTCTTATATATGGGCGTCAAACTTACTAGGATAAACATGGTGACGGCGAGGAAGGTGCAGCCAGAAGATTGGTCTGACTAGGCAAGGACGAAGTGAAAAGGCTTAAATCTCTTTTCCCGTTTTACCATTGTCACGAAGCAATCAACGATCAAAAACCCTTCTGAGATTATTGCTCCGCCTAGAATCCCGCCCACACGTGACCCCGGGACGGAAGCTTTCAATTTCAACCTCCACTCCGCTAATAAACTAAACTTAAGAGATTATTCTTGTGTTGGTGCTGGAGTCTCCAGCAAACCAAGGCTCTCGTCATGAGCTCGCAGGGATTCTCTTTCCCTCCCCCGCCGCCTCCGCCGCCAGCGACCAACCAACTGCCGGCTCACCACCCGACCCAACATGGACAGAGTTGGGGTGGACGCGGTGGACATGGCGGAGGTCAGAGGGGACGTGGCAGAGGACAGGGAAACCGAGGCCGAGGAGGAAATCATGCAGAAAGTGGACGAGCGCCATCATATCCTCCTCCTACAGGTTTCAACTACGCGCAACCAATGTACGGCGGATATCCCCAACCTCTTCCTACAGCACCTTATATGCCTCCCCAACCCTACCATCATGGACAAACGCCGGCCTTTCAACATCCTCAAAACCCACCTCCATTTCCATCTCAACAATATCCCCAGTCGGTAGCTCCGGGGAACTATCAACACTACAATACGCCCAACCTTCCTCCACCTTACCCTCCCACAACTCCGACATACATGCAAGGTTTACAACCTCCGCATGGCCATCAACCAAACAACCAAGCAATGATGCCTCCCATATCATGGCGCAATGAGATGCAAGGTGCGGTGCCATACATGGGGGCTCAACCGGGGCAAGCACGAGGGCCACGACCTCCTCATGCGTATGGCAATCAGGGTCCGAAACCCAAGAATACCCAAAAGCGGGATCACTCATCTGCATTCAACAAACCTCAATCAACTGCGCCTCGAACCCCCGCAGCGCCTGCCGTTCCAAGCTTCGGCAACCCTCTACCCTCAAAGCCACCACCCGCCGCAGACTCGACAGCCAACAGAAAGGCGAAGAAGAGAAAAAGGAAGCACAATCAACTTGGACTGACCCCTAATACCGAGGACCACGAGTCAAGCGAAGAAGAGGTTGACGAAGACGAAGAATCGAAGCTGGCGCAAAGTGGATCTGGCGCAACACCACTTCAGGTCTCATACAAAGGAAAAACGGCAACATTACAAACACCGTCCGATATTGCCGCTTGGATTGCAGAACGGAAGAAGAAGTTCCCCACGCAAGCTCGGGTTGAAGAAAAGAAAAAGTCAATGGAGGAGGCAAAGGCAGCCCGCGAGTTAACTCGCCAACAAAAGCAAAAGGAGCAACAGGACAAGCGAAAAGAGCATACACAAAAACAAAATGAACACAAGACAGATCCCGCTGCAGATGCAACGACAAACGCCCAGCGCAGAGAGAAGATTCGGCGCAACCTTGAACGAGAGGAGAAACGAATCCAAAAGGCCATGGCCGAGACCGAAGCTGCTCGCCTCCGAATGGAAGCTTTACAGAAGGAGGCATTGAGCCTAAATGAAGACTTTAACCAAGACGAAGATACGGGTAGCACAATCGAGCAACCGGCCCCGGTTATCAAAGCTGAACCCGCAACCGCGGTGCCAGAGCCAGCTATGAAAACCGAATCCGAAAACGCGGTAACGGAGCCAGCCACTAAGACTGAACTAGAGACCGCGGTTCCGGAGGCGACCATGAAAATCGAGCCCCATGGCCCAATTCCAGAGCCCGCGCAATCAACCGTGGAAAGCGGAGATGCGACAGATGCGCAAGGTGTTCCTGGGCTTTTGTTCGAGTCCCATCATCTCGAGCACACAATCAAGACCGAGCACCCCACCGACCATGACTTGGATGCCATGGAGCTCGCATCCGATCACGGGGCCAGTGATTGGACCTCCTCGGGTGCTTCTGGCTCAGATTCAGACTCTGACCCTGACAGCGATGACTCTGCGCCAGAGCAAGTAACTTCACGTCGCACGGGACCAGAGCGAGTGCCACCGCCACCCCGCCAAGGCAAAAAGACCGTCTGCCGCTATTTTGCACGTAATGGCCACTGTAACCGTGGCGACCAGTGTAAATTCCTCCATGAGAATGACTCTGAACGACCCTCTAAGGCCAGGGCAAAGCCTACGGAGAAGAAGGAGAAAGAGACGAAACGCAAGGGACTTTATCAAGCTGTGAGAGCCTTATTTATTGATTTTGCTCCTATTGAAGCTGTACTGACTGGGATTAGTTGCTGGACCGACAGCAGCAAGACGATGACCGCCGGGCAATGGAAGTGATATTCTGGCTCGGTCAGAACAATATGCTGGATGCCCCACACGATACCCCAATGAATTAGCGTTAGAACTGGAACTACGAAACATTGAAGCGCAAGGATGAAGTGGAAAAGGTCATAGCTCGGAGGCGTAGGGGGCTTTGGTCGGATTTCTAACTCGGATGAATACCCGAACCCTCAGTCGCGTGGCTCCGATAGTACAACATACAGAGTCAGCGACAAAGGATTGAAAGCGAAAAAACATGCCAAAAACATACCAAAAATTATGTTGAATCACATCTGATCCCCATTATTCTGCCTAGCCAATTATCGATGTATCCAATGATGTGATCTAAATTTATCCCCCAAAAAGAGGGTTGTCTCGTCGAAGTGACTGTAACCGACCAAAGTGGATATCGTCATTTAAGGTCACGTCGAGTTCAGACCAGTCAACGCCGGAGATGCCCTGCCAAGCGAGGGAAGATGGCCGTTAGTGGTCCGAAAACTCGTGGATCACCGCCACGCTCTCTTTTTTATCGGTTTTCCCTCTTTTGCCCTGGATTTGTCTCCTATTAGGGCCTCGCGGGCCCTCTTTGGGCTGGACGGTGGCCAATCACTCGCCTTGCTTCCTTTGTATTTGTTTTTCCTCGTCCCTTTGACTCTGCCGGCTGTGCCTAGCTCCTTATCCATGGGGCACATGCCCTCTTAGTTATAAAGCTAAGACCAAATATCCCCGACGGCCGGTCTTTTCTTCTATATTTGCCCCTTCAGACGCCTTCCACTCCTTTGAGGCTCTTCTGATTTCACTCTTTTATCCGCATCTCCCACTTGAACATTCGTTTTTCCCAACCTATATACATATACCAGTCATAATGCGCTTCTTCATCTCTCTCGCTGTCGCCGCCATGGCCGCCGTCGCCGCGGCGAACAGCAAGGCTAACCCCTTCAGCATTCCCGTCGAGGGTTACACCTTCAAGGTCGGCGAGCCTACCGCTCTGAAGTGGGAGCCTACCACCGACGGCACTGTCAGTTTGATCTTGCAGTGGGGAGCCGTGATCAGCGGTAACTCCGGCACTGTCATTGCCTGTAAGCAACCTCGGGATCCATCCGAATGACTAATATTCCCCGATAAGGCACGGAGTCTGACTATCACCAGCGAATATCGATAACGACGGCAGCTACACATGGGATGTGCCCTCCAAGCTGGCCGCCCAGCCAGACTACACCATTAAGATCGTCTCGGACGATGATAGCGACGACTACAACTACATCGGCCGTTTCACCGTCGAGGGCTCCACCGTTCAGGTCACCTCTACCTCTTCCACTGCCAGCTCGACCACCGCGTCCACTTCCACTCAGTCATCCACCGAGTCATCTACCTCGACCACCCACACCACTACCTCGGAGAAGTCGACCTCGACTTCTTCGGCCACCACCACCAGCTCCCCCACTACTTTGACCACCGCTTCCAGCAATGCCACCAGCACTGCCACCAGTACCTCTGCCTCCGCCACCGAGTCCTCGGCGAAGTCCACCTCGGCCAGCGCCAGCGGTAGCGCCAGCTCCTCGAGCGCTGCTAGCTCCACGCCCGCATCCCAGAGCGCCGTGCCCACCACCAACGCCGGTATCGCCAACCGTGTCTCTGGTGGCATGCTGGCCCTCGTTGCCGCTGCTCTGATGCTGTAGATTTCCATGCATGCAGATGTTGTCAGGAAGACCTTGTTGCAAAGTCACGTTGACATGCTTTATTGATGTATATTTTTTTTTCTTTCTTCACTTCTCCGATTGGCTGTTTCCTGAAACAGCCAATCAATTTGTGTTATTGCCTGTCCCTTTTCTGGGGTGCAGCTGTACAAAACATCCTCTTCTTTGACTACGGTCGGGATTGTGGCTTTGTTATTATTTGATATATTATTTGTGTCTCCGTCAGCGGTAATGACTGTATACTCCCTACAATCTACTTTATAATTGTGTATTCCCTTTTCTAATTTGATATCCGATTCATCCGAGTGAATCTGTCAAAAAGACAGTGGGGGAAATAATTAATTTGGATAGTCCCGCGTCCACTTTTTTAATTGTAGTCTAATCTCGCTGGTAGGTACAGTTGAATCACATATAATAGATGACTGCTAGATCTCTAGCTGTGGGGAGTATATATGTACTCCGCGAACATTACCTATTCAGATTCAAACAGGCTATCCTCCCAGTAAGGGGCCTCTCTCACCGAAGTACAAAGTAGTACTCCGTACGAAGGACATAAAATAATGATCGTCCATCGGTGGAGACGGTGGCCTTGAAAAAACCAAGCAAATTTCCCTACTAAGTAGGGATTTTCTCGTCTCCACAGGGTTGGAGTTGCGGTTCTACATCATTGTTGTACCTTGCAAAGTCTGATAAGCACTTTGGGTTATTCTCCTTCTAGTTTTTGACTAGTTCCGACTAGTTACAACTCTTTTATTTTCCTTTAGCGATTTGAACTGTGTTGTATAATCAAGCCTCGAGTCGATCTCCGCGGATTGTGGGCGAGTGTATCGCAATACTTGCAAGGTTCACGAAGTACATGACATGGACACCCTATGTACCTTCATAGGCACATAAAACTATATAGTACTCAGAAATACTCATCGCTTACGACATTGTCTTGACCAAGTCCTCGGCTTGTCCCACTTGACCATGTGCCTGACTCGTGACCACACAGGCACCAGCCTCCAGGTACCAGGCTCTCTGCGATGAAATGTCAATCTGCTGAGCGACTCGACGTTTCAGGTCTCCGTGAACAATGTCATTGCCAGGTGGACTACCGTACCATGTGTTTCCAATATTTCCAGGGTCTACTTACTCCCTAATAGTTCGGACTATGCTAGGCTGCTAGGCACCCGCGCCATGGAAAAAGCAACCCTGGCATAAAAAAGACTCCCCATCCAATGCATGGCTCTTGACACACCGCATAAGCAACATGGGAGCCCCAAGCAAATGAACCACGTCGCTCATGTCTATTCTTATAATAGCACCCTGGCATCGTCATCAAAAGCTCGGCTCCAAGCAAGGGCCTTCACGAATCTATGATCGCAGGAACAGTCCACTCCACCTCGTGACTGCAGAGGAAGCAAGGCTCCTAGCACTATGAAGGGCTTTTGCTGGAAATCCTGAAACATTCTGTCCATCCGGTCAATCAATAGGGCGGATTATGGATCTGGGCTCTGATCTATCAATTGACCCATGCCCTTCGCCAAAGAAAAATGTGATTGCCTATATGCAATGGATGCAGAAGACATGCAGAAACCGGGGTCCTCGCTATCCACCTTCTTTTGAAACATGAATGGCCCAGCTTGTTCTTTTGTGTCACGTTGCTACAGTATGACATCGGTTATTGGTTGGTTGCTGCGAACGATGACATGACAGCTGGGTTTGCAATGATCGAACCCCCTAACTTGCAGCAGAGCCCATTCAGGGCTGGAGGATGATGAAGATATTTATTTTCGCTAGAATCTGGGCTATGCTGCATAATTTGCTTATTATAAAGGTGCTGTTGCATCCTCCCTACAATATAGGGATTGGAGGGTTTTTGCTTGCTCAGTAGTGCCATTCAAAGATCAGGTCAGAGCAGAGCAGCATTTGTCAGATATATCCAATGATAACAGGGTCCACTATGCTATCTAAATTCCTTCTTGCATCGGCTGCGACCGTCGCGGCGTTCGCTGGCCTAGCCAATGCCCAGACAAACATCACCGAGAAAGACTGCGCCTCCTCATCCGAGTACTCAAAGTGCAACAGGGATGTCGCGGACAAGTGGAGCTCCTGCGTCCGAGGCTGTAACGGAAATGGTAACTGTGCCGTGGACTGTGGCTGCGACTCCCACCAGAAGTATATCAACTGCATGGCGGAGTCATGCTGGAATCAGGTATGTATGACTTTATATACAATCTACTCCAACGGAACACCCCGCTAGGACTATCATAAATCCATGCTAACAAAATTCCATTCCTCAGGTCTACTCTTGCAAATACCAGCTCTTCGTTCAGCAGTACTTCGCCATCTGCCCCAGCGCCAAAGAGCCAATCCCCTTCTGGCCACCACCAGACAACGCGCCAAACCGCTGTTCCTGCGATCTAGGCAAAGTCACCCAAACGACCTTATCATCACGCAACCAGCAGATCAAATGCATGCGCAACGTCACCGACAACATCAGCGCCGACATCGGCAGCATCCCAGACCTATCGAAACTCAACAACGGTCTCGACATTGCCAACCGCGCCTCAGACTGTGCCTGCTGCGGAGCCAGCGCTAGTATCTCCGCGTAAGTGAAGTCCACCAACCCCACGACCCTTCCAAAGCACGAATTAACCGCCCGAACCTCAGATCCTGGGATATCTGCCCACACACCGAGCCCACTCTCGCCGGCGCAGACATGTGGGGAGTATTCTTCCCCTCCGATCTACCCAATCTATACACCTCCCTTCCGAATTGGGCGTGGTCGTCTTGCGACTCGACGCTCAAGGATACGACGTGCAAGGACCTGGGTTTCACAGATATGGATAAGTTCTACAAGCCCGGCGATTTCCCTAGTAACGGCACATCGACCCTGTACGAGGTTGGGGGTACGGTTACGGCGCCTCCTAGCGGTACTGTTCTCACTTGGTCCCAGGTGTCGACTACTTATACTGTTACCGCGACTGGGTATGACCTCAAGGCTGTTTCTAGCCAAAGTGAGTACCGGGCTACGGCTACCGGGACTGATAAGGCGTTTGCGACGCAGACTGCTGATAGTGGTGCTGCGGCTGTGAGGAATGGCGGTGTTGGCGCTGTTGTGGCTGGTGTTTTTGCGGTTGTTATGTTGTAACTTGGTGGTTAATAAAAGGTATGCATGGACTGTGTTGGCAGGTGGAGGGGTGAAGAAGTTGATGTTTTTGTGGTATTTCATGATGTGATATGACCGGATAATGGAATAATATGTGGCGTTCGCAGCTTGTGTATTGCATGGCCACTCTGCACTAGCTGTCATGTTGGTTATGTTGGGGGATGGGGAGGAAGGACTGGATACTACTCAAATACGAACACCCGATGCACAAGTTACTTCCTCATATCGCAGCCCTGGTGTTGCTAATCCCTCCGGAAATGGTCGAAATACGGTGATGCCGGGTGGTGATGAATGGCTAGGACATTTTGCGAATGCGATCAATTTGAAATGAAAAAAAAAACAATGCTCTTCTCAATTGTAGCCTGCAGAGCAGCTATGAAATGATATGAAAATGCCCCGAAGCCGCCCAGAACAACGCCAGTTACTCCGCAGATATCGGTATCAAAAGTTGGAATCATCTCCCGCTAGAAAAAGCACGGGCACCGTAGTCAGTGTCCCTTAGGACGAAAAAGCAAAACAATCTACGAAATGAGTGCAAGAGACGAGACCATCACGCAACCCACGATGGGAGAACCCGCTTCAGGAACTTCATGAACTTCCAGAACCCAACCGCGTACTCCTGATTACCCTGCGGGTCGACAACCCGCTCGGGGAACGCAATACCGGCACCAAACAGCCCGGGGATGTCAGATGAACGACCAGGCTCGTGGAACGTGCCTTTATCATGATCAAAGCTCATAAAAAGGGGCGCACCATTCTTCGAGAGAGCAGGGAGTGAGGTACGGGTATACCCGACGGCCTGGACGAGATAGTCACACGCGGGCAAGTACTTATGGTACTGAGCAGACTCGATCTCCTGACCACCAGCGCAGTCGATCTTGGCCAGAACCTGGCCTGCGTGCGAAGTGGGAAGCTTATCGTCTTCCAGCTCGGAGCGAGCAAAGTCTGCGGCCAGGCCCTTGAGACCGGTGTTGTCGCGCAGTATCCAGCCGTCCTTGTACTCTGCGTAGCGGAGGGGGTGACGGGTGAACCAACTAATACGCAGGAGAGGGTGGGAGGTTTGGGCGAGCTTGGTGAGGTTCAGGATGGCGAGGATGGCGCTGTGGGATGCGCCGACGATGGCGACGGAGGTGGGTCTGTCTGAGGGGAGGGCTTTTGCTAGCTCGGTGGGCTTGAGCACTAGGTCGAGGTCCAAGCGCTGGATGTCCAGTCCCTGGACTGGGATGGGGGCTGTTGTGGGGAAGGAGCCTGTGCAGAGGATCAGGCGGGAAGTCTCGATTGTCTCAAGATCTTCAGATGAATTCTGTTTGATGCAGATTGTCCAGTTGGAGGTCTGGATTGTGATGTCATTATTAGCCTTCATGATAGACAAGGAGATGTGCAATAATCACTAACCGTTTCGTTCAGGTTGGCTGATTTGACAAAGCCGTGGCATGCATATACTTGCTCCATCTTCAATAGACCGTCCGTCAGGCCACGAACCATATCCGCTGCAAAACCAAGGGGGCAGGTAGCTTCTTGATCCAGTTTGGCCAATTTGGTGAACGCATTAGGTGATTTGGTATTATCGATAATTTTCTGGAAAGGCTGTGTGGCTGTTGCGAACGTTTGGAATAATGCAACCTTGGTGTTACTGAAGGGTACCTCGTTAGTATCTTCCGGTCTGTGTTCATATGTCGAGAATTGGGTACAAACCTAGGAACTTCGCGATACTTGCTATGGACTCTCCCGGCCTCGAAAGAAGGATCAACCCATGTGATTGAGCCCAGTTGGCGCTCCAACAAGTTTCCCATGACAGCGACTCCAGCCGGACCGGCTCCTACGACGACCGCTGCACATTTCCGAGTAGCCATATTGAGGTGGTGATTTAGAAGATAGGAGTAAGAGTAAGAAATCGAGTAAAGGACTCAAGCGTTTCAAAGGTGTGGAATGAGAAAGAGTTGTAAAAATAACGGTGATTTGAGCTACTAAATAAACAGAACCGTAGTAGCTATCGCGACGGGGGTGCGCGACGTTTAAAAAGGGGGAACAGTCGGCTAAGACCCAGACTCCAGAGGACGCATCATCGGCGACAGGACGCGTGGTATTCACACAGATAACGCAACATAACGCAACCAGCGTCCAGTCAGGACATCGCTATAGAGCGGGAACATTCATTATTCCCCCAATATCCCATGACACATGTGTGTAGCTCTCGGACGAGATGGGTCGCCGTTCTATCGACATGTGTTGACCAATCCATCCTGTTCCGCAGGTGGGGATCTTTGACCTAAAATTGGCTTCACAGTTGGCGGTTATCTCCCGAGACTTTCAGACGGCGACTCATTCGGCGACTCGTTCGGGAGGATTTGAATCGGCGACTGGGCCCCACTGTGCGCTTGCCGTCGGCCTGCCGGCAGGTCGTGCTCAGTTAGTATAGGAAGAGGTGCTCATGGGATAAACACCATTTTCAGGGCAGATCAGCGGTTGGACTGCATGATGACTAGCATCAGGGAGAAATAAAAAAAAGTAAAGCAGCTAAGGAGGCCGTTGGCTTTATATTGTGCTGTTTTGGCGTCGATTAGGCAGCCTTGGCAAAATGGCGTGATCAGTTTTGGGCTTCAAAGCCAATCATCGGTTAGTCAGTTTGTATACAACATAGTTGGTTAGTTACGATGTATGTTGTATGTTGTACTCCATACGGAGTACAATCCTAGTTGTCAGCTAAGGCGTGGTAACTAACTAGTTATGATATTCTTCTGAAAGGGCATTTAATACTGCACAAAACGAAAACATGATATCAGAGAACATCCATATATACATCCCCTCATACAGCCCAGTATATCCTCACGCTCGCTTGATGAACGTGGTTTGACCAGCCGGGAAACCTTGCCCGGGCCCAAAGGGCAATCGAATCGCCAACCTCTAACTCACGCACTTCATGTCCATCAAGAGTAAGTCGGCCACGACCCAGAGTCTTCTCAATCTCAAGTGCCTCGGGCGAGTCTGCCTGGATATCGTCTCGATAGTCCCAAACAATTCTATTGTGCTGCATCTCGCTCACGTGGGCACCATTGGATTGCAATTTGTTGTGGCGCGGCAACAGCAGCGCATCTTCCTCGGTATAGTGTTTTCGGACTTGTCCACGCTCATTGTCGAGGATCTCTTGCTCAATTCCATTGGCATACATGTTCCTCGTATGGGCTCCGTGAATAACTTCGATGTCAAACCAAGTCCATGAGAATTCATACATGTTGTCACGGCATTTCCCGCTACCTTGGTCATGAGATGAGATATTGAAGACTATCTTGCGGCAAGGGTGTGCACCGCGATGGGGTAACGGGGTAGGACTCGATTCTTGTTCCAAGGTCTAGAAAGATATCAACACGGCCGCTCAGCTAACTTGAGAGCGGATAGGCATACCTTCCGATCGTAGCAGAGGGGAACTGTCTTCAGCAAAACTTGATCACAATCTTTTTGAATGATCCGATGTTCTTGCAGTTTCTGCTCTATTGAAGGCCAATATTCCGCAGCATCAATGATCATATCAATGAGCTCTTCGGGCAGACCGCGTGGGACCTTCCGTTGCAACAAATTCCGAACTTCGAGTACATCCGCTATGCTGGGATTGAAAACTTGAGGTCCTGGGTCTGAGATACACTTATCTACCCCATCAGAATCTGTGCCGTTCGTGTCTGCAGAGGGTTGGCCATGGGACCGGCGGCAGTTTCCTGGGCGAACTCCGAAAGGTAACATGGTAGTAATGAGAAATCTAGGTGCTGACTTGAATGGAAAGACGTCGATACGTATGAACTTTCTTTTCGCTCTGTATTACCTAGCCTCGGGAGCTAGCTTCGGCTTTGTTTTTGTCGACTCGTATGTGCACCTCAACCCCGCATACCACATGGATAAATAAGGCTGGAACTAAAGTACTTCACTTTGGGCGGTTCAAGCTATTGATTTCGTTGAAAGGGATTCAAAGTAAAGTGATGTTCAACGTGAGTAAATATGGATCCGATGGTGGAAAGGAAACAGTTGATGGTCGACAACTTGTACGGTGTACCGTGAACGTTGATTGTTGACAATGACGTCAGTGTCCCCAGTTATAGCTTACTTTGCATAGATTATCTCCAGGGCTGGAATTACTACGTAGATGCTCAAATTATGCATATCTGGTCTCGAATTTTGTGTTCTTCCTACAATATATTCAAATGCCCTTCCTAACGCCCATGAGAGATACAATAAGGCTTCTTTTATGTTCAGCCCCTTCTGCCACCCGCAGCTTTGTATGCGGCAGCCCGCTTGCTGCTTCTGCTTTCTCGCTTGGCCTTCGATCCACGGCTCTTCTGCTTCATTTTGATGGATGATGATCCCTCAGTAGCGCGGTGACCCTCGAACACGAAGGAGTTGCCGGCAATGGTACTGTTAGCATCGGCCTTCACCTTGGCCGCACCCGCTCGGCCCAATAGCCTGTTGGCACGTCCTTGCATCGTTTTCTGGGCCTCATCTACACGAGACTTCTTGGTCTCGGGGCCGGAGGGTTCGCGCTTCTTAGCGATTTTACGGGCTCGAGTGACACGCAGCTTGCGGGGGAGCATAGGCGGGAAGTTCTTTCCATTGAGCGGAAGCGATTCCTCAACACCATTGCCATCGTAGAATTGGACATAGGCAAATCCTTTGCCAACACGAGTGGTGCTGTCACGGATCACGCGCACAAACTCAACGTTCTTCTTGATGGCCTTCTTGTCCTTGCCTCCAGTGTGGGCGTTGAAAATCCGCCAGAGACCCTCCTCAATATCGGCGGGAGCGCGAACCTTCTTCTTCTTGCCGGTCTTCTCGTCCTCTTCGGGGGTCTCACTGTCAATGAAAGACAGGTTGCCGACAAAGACACAGCGCTTGTGATCAATTTCTGAGGGGTGAGCAAGGCTATCAACTCGCAAATGACGGTCCAAGACCATAGTGCCATTCAAGGCGGCGGGGGCCTTGCGTGCGGCGTGGAGAGTGGTGTAGACAGCGTATGCGTTGGTGCTGGGTGTGGTCTCATCGAGAATCTCGCGCTTCGCGAAGGAAGCACGCTTGGGAATGCCACCGCCACTGGCGAATGCAACAGAGCGGAAACGAATCGACTCGATCTTGTGCGGGCCGGTGGATTCAGGAAGCGTCGAACAGAAAGAGGCCAGGTGCCTGAGAAGTGTTTTCTTGGCGGTCTTAGATCTGATAGCCTCTGTGGAGACGTTGCCCAGGAAGACAGTGCGGTTGGACTTCTCAACTTCATCGGTTTTGGCGGAACCAGTCAAGCTCTCGTGCACAGGTGCAGGAGCGGCCTCCTCGTCGTCGGTGTCTTCTGATACCGATGCTTTGTCGGAGTCCTCGCCTTCCTCATCTTCGCTACCTTCTTGTTCGGTCTGCTTCTGACGCTTTGCTTGCTCGGACTTCCTCTTTTCCTCATCCTTCTCCTCCTCCTTTGCAATGCGACGCATATATGTCTCCTCAACATCCTCGCCGGCACTGCCACGCTTGCGTTTCCGGTTCTGTGTGTCCGTAGGTTGTTCTTCCTCCTCTGCGGCCTCAGAATCGCTTTCTTCGGCAGCATCTTCCATTACTTCATCGCCTGACGCAGATGATTCCTCTTCTTCAGCAACATCATCTTCGTCCTTTTTTGCCCGTTGTGTGGGCTTGACGTACTTGATCACGGGAGCTTGCACAGGACCAGCCTATATATTGTCAGTTCAAAGTCCGTTAATTGCACCTCAAGACAGACATACACTCTGCGCAAAAAGCGAGGACAGTGTTGGGTCCAGAGATGCACCACCGAAGGGAAGAGTGGCAGCGGACGTGCTGGTCTTCTCCTCCGTCTTGGATGAAGACTTTGACTTTTTGCCCATTTTGATGTTCTTGGTCTGTATTATAGTCTAGAATCGAGTGGGCAGGACGTGGGTTTGTTGCGATTGACACTTGCGCCGATGATAGCTCCGACTTTTTTTTTCCCTTTAGTTTCTGCTTATCGGGTCTTGGCATGGAAAGATAATTATCACGTGACTAAGAGTACACTCAAGAGTAGATGTTCCTACAATATGCGGCACATCGGACGTTGTATATGATAGATATGCATTAATATTACCTATGCATGCTTTCTGTATTACGTATTCTTCTTGTCTGCAAGCACTACACTCTATCTATGTATTCCAGGCTGGGAGGTTCTTATTGGGACCGGGCGGTAAGCTGTGGATGTATGATGCACTTATACACCATCTAACATAGTGAGACCGATGAACATATCCTTTGTTCTTCATTCCTTCCTTCTGGCATAGAAATGCAGTATCAACATATTATTCTACAGGATGGCCTGTCTCTTTACAACTACGTCAGATACTATCTCACGTGACTTGATTTTTTTTCTTCGGGCGGTGAGCTTTGCCCTCGCCGGAACGCAACGCGGCAGAATCGGCGGTCACTCGCTTCTGTTGCTGCACCCCATCTAGCGATCTGCTGCTTTTGTCTGCTGAAACCCCCTCTTTCCGCTGTGATTTTCCATCCCTGATCATTGGTTTGATCTTGATCACCATCCCTAGCCACTTCTTCATGACGCCAACTCCTCTGCGACTCGGTACCCTCGTCTTGTCCGCTTCCTAGCCATCCTCCCCTCGTCCTCCAGAGTCGGTCTGCGTAGGATTCGTCGGACCGAAAGCTTTTACCGGTTACAATAGTGGTGATACGCGTGGACCTGGACTTCCGTCATAAATCGCGTCTCAGGAACGCGGTGGTTTTGGGAATCGTGCTCGGTCGCGAGCAGCTTTGCTCATTACCGGCGTCGCTCCCGGCGCATTGTTGAAACGGTACGTCGCTTGAGGTTCTACATCAACCACAGACCTCATCTGGTCATTTTCGTGAGGAGGGAGCGTCTCTATATCCTCTGGAACTACTGTGATCGGTACACTTGCTTTGCGCGGCCTCTAGTCCCTGTGCTGAGCGATTGTTACCGAATCTGGGGGCGTTCGATGATCAATCTCCGCACCACCGCCTTCTGGGGGCGCTGACCTATCTCGCACCCACCAACCACTTTTTGCCCACCAACTCTGTTTTCCACTAGTTTTGCCGAGTTGATATGGCAATTGAGCTAATTCGATCTGTGGTTTCTCCAGATTCTTGCTCGAAACACCATCTGGTGGATCGGTGACCTTCCTTCCTCTCCTCACGCCCGCGGAATCTCAACCTCGCTGCAAGCAAGCAACCACCTTATACTCTCCCCTTCAAACCTTCTTGTCTTCATTCACATCGTGTTGCGCCAGCTCTCTTAGCTGCATAAATCTCCATGGAGGTAGCCGAGAGCAGAGAACAGGCCTCCGTTGGTCCTACAACGGGGGCAGAGTCTACATTCCCCAATGGCGAGCGGAACCCTTTTCTAGATGACCCGCTCATGGACGATGATGGACGCTCAAGTAGCTTGAGTGAGATCGACGATGTCTCGGACAACGAGCCGTCCGACTTCGAGGATCCCATCAAATCAGACAAGCCAATGGAGAACGATTCGGAGGCCGAAACCGAGCGCATCGAAGATTCTCCACATAACATCCGAAAACATGACATTGTGTTGAGTGCCGCTAGTGCCGGACCAAGCCCTAGCAAGCTTCATCAATCTACAACACTCGATGATGTTGACGATGAAGCACTTGTGGCAGACGATTCTCCTAGCAAACCGCGACGGTCTTCAAAAAACAACGGCTTGACCGAGAATATCCCAGACCTAGGCGACCTAGGTGATTCGGAGCTGCCAGATAATTTTAAAAAACGAAAGCACGAAACTGTCGCCGAATTAGGCGACGAAGAGCCCACGAAGAAACGCCGGAGCTCAATCAAGAGTGACTTGAGTGACCCGATAGACGATGATACCCCCCTATCGCCTGAGCCGCTCGGTAATCCCATGGATATCAATGAAAATGGCATACTGGTTGACGAAGTTCCTGAGTCGGATCTCCCAGCCCCGCCTTCCAAAGGCAAAAAGGGCAAAAAGGGTAAGCGGAAAGGAAGAAGGGCCCAAGACGGTGATGGGGAAGCAGAAGCCGGGGTCGAGGCCACAATAGAGTATGTTGCTGATGAGATTCATGGAGAAGACGAGGAGCCTACGGAACGAGTAGATGAGCCCGATGACGCAGAGGCGATTCTTCGAGCCGAAGAGTGTAAGTGTATCCCTTCATGGACCCTTTGGGTGCAACAGATACTGATGCCCTGTTCAGCTGTGAAAAAGATGTCTGCTATGGATTCCCTTGTGACACTGGAGAAAGAATTTGCAACGTTACGTGACAAGTAAGAAATTTCCCCCACCTCTCACATGCCTCGACGCTAATAATCATAGGATTTATGACGAACGGATATCCAAACTCAACCGCGAGTTGGAGATGCTTACCGGTCCGAACCCGACGCATCCTGAGTACTTGCGGCAGATCGAATGTGTGCAACGTTACCGAGACGCCAAGATCAAATACGAACAAAACTTGTTCCGACACCGCATGAAGTCACTCATGCACAAGGGTCTGGCCGAGCGAACACAGGCTCATAGCACATACTACCAGCGGATTCGGGATGCGCGCGAGCGGCATTCAAGTGCAGTCAGCAAACAATTCTATGCCATTCAGCATGATCGCTTCAAGACAGACGAGCTTAGCCCGCACCATATCATCCCATTCCCCACGCGTCGCTCGCAGCAAATCGCACATCAGACCGCATACAACCAGGAGGTTTCAATTATGGCCGGTGTGGCCAAGTATGTTGGCTTCCCGGCTGCCCCGTCCTTAATGGGTGCACGGCCCACCGAACTTGATGACGATCTTGAAAAGATGGGGGTAAGTCATATTCACATTCCCTATTTGGTCAGTTGCTGAGAGCAGGTCATAGATTCATATCGAGTCTCGCGCTTCGGCACCACGGCACTCATCAGCAATACCGTCACGGACCACCATGTCTACCATGTCTTCCAATGCTTTCCGTTCGGCAGCAGAAGAAGCATTTCTAGAACAAACACCCTGGGCAAACCCACAACATCCCATCCATCAGCAACAACAGCAACAGCATTCGCAGCCACCTCGGCTACAAGGCCGCACATTTGAGCATCCGCAACAATCATCATATGCAACGCCAGCCGCTCAAAAGCGGGTGGTAGACATCAATGCGCCTAATGGATCTGCATCCACCATTCCCGAGAACGCCTCTGCTGCCAACTCATCAGCCAACAACACCCCTTACGGCATGGAGCAAGATCCAAGCCGTCAAACGCAAGGGCCCTTCCGCAACCCAGATTATGACACCGATCATCGCAAATCTGGGTTCCGGTCATTAAGTTCGTCTCCCTTGGATGTGCGTAAATCACAGCCGCATATCAACCATACCCTCGAACACCGCTCTCCCATAAGCGACGCACCATCCCACAATCACATATTCTCTCCGCCTTCTGCACGCCAAGGCTTGTTTCAACCTTCAGCCGCTCCCCAACGGGAGACCTCGCCATCCCTCCCGTCTAAACCTGTTGATGTACATTACCGCGCTCATCAATCCGGAATATCCACAGGTCCTGGTTCAAACCATATGCCTAATCGATGATCGATTACCTTTGGCGATTCTTATTGAAATGACCCGTCAGCACCCTTCTTAATACCCCGAGAGTCTCCTACCCTCCTCTTTCATGCATCTTGTGCACTTTTCTTCTCCTGTGATAAATCCTGTGTTTTTCTACTCTCCAGCTCTTGCTCCAGCAGCAAATGTATCTTGACTGTCATTTTCACCCGTGTTGCATGAATGGAATACCAATCTGGGGTCTTGTCTTTGAGTTTCAACAGCGTTAACATGTGGGGTACTCCTGTTGTTATTACTTCTCACTTTGGATTCGAAGACTTTATTTGAATGGAACGGAATCTGGTTAAAGCTGTTATTATTTTATCATCTGATGTATAAGGTCTGAATTTGTTTTTATGCGTGCGGTAGAGAGATATCTTTTGCATTGGAGTTTCTTTTTCTTTCTTCGTTCTTCTAGTGTCATCTGCTCTGTCTAGTGATGTACATACGACGTCCTTATTTTATATCATCAACTTCCTTTTAGTCTATGTTGCGACCGAACTGACCTATATATAGCGGGGCTGAACGTTGGAACCATGGCGGCGCCACTATTTATGCTAAGTGGAGCTGATCCGATGCTAAGATTCACTTCACTGATTCGCTTGACCTTGAAAGCTCTCATGGATGCATTCAAGGTTAGAGCCGAGAGAGAGTAAAAATTATTCCATCATGGTAGACTGGTTTTCGCGTAGTTAAAAGATCTATCATAAAAAGTATACATCCTTCCTGGGTCCTATGGGTTTTAAACTCTCAACGATGAAGCAGGCAGTTGATAAAGTAGCTAATAAGATGTGACAGGAGTGACTTATTTTAGTTAGGTGGTTACATACAAAATGCAGGTAGCTACTGTTCTGCTAATTTCTGGGTAGCGGTGGGAAGAACCGGGCAGGAGCGGTACCCAGTTAGGAAGGTGCACCTAATATTTCAGGCAAGGAGTGGTCTGATCCGGGTGGTCTGACCGAAGGGAAGTGGTGTGATCTATAGGGCGGGTGGAGGTATGAACACCCTCTCTCTCTCTATATATATTTCCAGAAGCCTAAGTTTGCATATTGTTGAGGGATTCCCAGAAATTGAAAATCGACACCTCATCCATCAACGCATCAATGGCATCTTCGCCGATTGTTATTCCTGCCATAGGATCCTCGGCCGGTACTTCTTGCGGTGGAGAAGATTCGGATGCCAACTGAGGGAGAGCTGTTTGAGGAGTATAGTTGGGGAAAATGTAACGGATGGCTTCGAGGAAGATACCTCGGAAGACCGAAGAGCAAGGGTGAGTGTGTTGCATCTGTTCCAAGACTATCATGCAGACCTCAATTTTGTTGAGACCCAGACGTCGGGAAACGGGATCCGGAGATTTGCAGTTGAGGAGGTGGACGTGCATTGCTGGGACCAACAGCGGTGCCCTAGAGTGATTGTCAGATAAGACATTATTTGCAGAAGAGTTGCGCACTCACGTCATAGAGCCTGAGAATCCCAACAGCTTCTCCTGTGCCAGACTATCAAGGATGGCATTGGTCTGTAGCGCAGCCATGTTGATCTGATTGCGGACGTGGGTTTGCCATGTGTCCTGGCGAGATACGGGCAACCCTTCTGGGTCTTTTGTTACGAACGGACGGTAAAAGGTGATTATGAATGCTCTTTTGGCCGTCAGAAGCAGTTAAGGGTGGATATGGCGTCAGCACTCACTGGTAATGGAGCTGCAAGTGATACAAGGAAAAGGTTGCAAGTGGACTTTGTCTTGTCTCCTGGTCTTCGGGAATTTGGAAGCGCAAAATCTTTTGCTCAAGGGCTTCAACCTGTTGGAAAGACGAACTGGCTCCAAAGGGTTGGTAGCATAAGGTGAGAGTCTCCCCTAGAAGCTGAGTGAGTTGAATCATTGTCACCCAATAGTCTGCTAGCTGCGGTAGGTCCTTCGGGATATATGCTGCTGATATAGATTCGGGTAAGCCGACAAGATCACCCAACATATCATCCGCAGATGGCGGTACAGTGTTACAGTCATTCATGTTGATCCTCAATGGACGACCCATCGTGAGGCTTAGCCAACGGTCTCGAAAGAAGCAGATCCACCAAAGACGGCGCCAAAGACGCTGTTGTTGCCCAGTGATCGGTGAATTAGCACAGACCGAAGCGGAAAAACGATGCAGACCCATTGTTTGGCAAAGGCTAATGGCAATACCAAGCCAAAACCACGGTTGAGTGTAGGTATCAGCCTCGGAGTGGTAAAATCCCATGAGAAGTGCTGATTGAAGGAGCACTGTGTTGTCTGTCTCACCCCCATTATGATGCAGGCACTAAGAGCAGGCCATTAGCAAGCATAACTCGGAAATAGAAAGAATGCTAGCTTGCTAGCTTGCGCTTACCTTTGCACGAGCGTACATAGATTCCTTCATCTCTTTCCTAGACGAAAAGCCCTCTGATTTCCAAGTATCGGCCGGAAGATGCTATATGCCGCATTAGCTAGACTGCAGTTCTACTCGGAGGAGATAGGCTTTACGTTCGCTGCAGCATAGAAAATGCTCCATAGTAATATCAGATTGTATGGTTGTCCATCTCCACTGGGATAGAGGTGTGGAAGTGTCGTAGCGTCGACCACCGGCATGATGGGATGCACATGATGAAAGTATGCCCGGAGAAGTTGATCGCATATCTCTTTTCGGGGCATATTGAAGCATCCTTTGTACTGCAGGTATGCTTTATCCTCGGAAGATAGCGAAACGGATGTTTTGGAAGTGAGCAGGATATGCCTTGGTGCAGGTTGCTGTGAAGGCGAGCAGGCATCGAAGATGGCGCCAAACCCAGGCACATCACCTTCAGTTCCAGGTTAGCTTTGGGTGAAAACACTCGCGCGGTGACTACATACCTGTGTAGAATGGCGCTTGGCCAGGTTTGTAGTTGTTTTTCCGGAGGACTTTGGTTGCAATTTCAACGCCAGTCTGTTCTTCATCATGACTCCGAGAATAATCCGGGGGATTAGAGACACTCCTTATCCCAACCAGCTCAGGGCGATCTTTATGCGCAGGCGGTGCAGTTGGGAATGCATCAAGTGGGAGTGAAGACTGTGATATCAATCCATTAGAACCTGCGCTAGGTGGGCTGTTAATGACAGACGCGGTTCGACGCGTGTGCCTTTCGCGTATGCTATATCTGTCAGCGATAAGCTTCTACCAAATCGAAAGAAAACTTCACGTTTGGGTCTTCGTCGGCGGAACACTACATTCTCTGCCATCTTGCGTACAACCTATACACGGGATACCGGTAACCGTCACGCTACAGCGGACTTTGCGCTGACGGCAATTCTGACAAGCAGCGGCCGATCTATAGCGGCGTGTAGACATGGCGAAGCCAAGTATTGATCTATCGGTCTGCCGAGAAGGTCGGGTCGCCGAATTGTTGTCAATTAAAAATGATCCGAGGTAGCCGAGATCCGTTTCTTCCCGGGAGTTCCGAGGTAAGTTTTTCCCAAGAATTATGAATTGACCCTGAGAGAGGGAAAAGGGGCTGTATTTACTATGAAAAGGACAGAAGAACAGAGAAGAAAGGAAGAGGAGATAGAATTAAAAAGATGAGAGATATATCTTCAGAGACTTGTTAGTTATACAGGATGCCTGAGGAATCGTGGCCTAGGCAAATTTTTCACAATAATCTTTAATGAGGGAAAGAAAACCTGTTGCATTCGCTAGCTAAGAGAGAGTGAAGTCCAGGTTGGGAAGTAAGGTCCTATCTACCTGAAGCAAACAACGGTCTCAACAATCTTCAAACAACATATATTCAAGTTGAACGCAAAAAGTATCTATATACCCTCTATATACCCTCTATAAACTTCTATAGTACATCAGATCAGATTTACACAAGAGCAATTCCAGTAAAGGCCCGGTCATCATTGGAGTAAATCTTCTCCTTGTTGTTGCCATCCATATCGGTCCGGTAGATAGATCCGCCCAGGTCAGTAAGATAGATCTGAGAATTGGCGGGATCCAAGATCAAACCGATTGCCTCGTTCAGATTTCTGGTGATGACATCATATCCCAGAGCGGAGCTAGCTGGCAGAAGGAGACCTTGTTCACTCAACTGAGCTTTGTTCAGTGAGTTGCCGATCGGGAGTTCACCACGATCGGTCCAGTAAAGTGTGTGAGTGGCTTCGTGCACCTCGAGATCAATCGGCTCGGGGAGATCAGCCAGAACAACCTGGACATCACTTCGAGCATCTGGTGACTCGCCCTCAGGGGTTGTGATATTGGCGCAGAAGATCCGGCCTTTGCCAGCCTTCGAGGGTCCTTTCTGGGTCCAATAGAATTTACCATAATTTGGCACCACAGCAATTCCGACGCACCAGTCGGAGATGCGGTGCTGTGGGTTCGCTTCACCGCCGGTGTTATCAATCAAAACCTCGAGATTGGAGCCGTCGTAGGCACAACGGTAGACGCGGCAGCCTTCACGGTCACAGAAATAGACAGTTTTCGCCTCGGAATGGAGAACTATTTGTTTCGGTGTATTGATAGTTCCTGGGGCAATGAGTGTTTTGATGTCGGTTCCATCCACGTTTGCGGAGTAAACGCCTCCGTCGAACTTTCCTGGAGCGCCCATGCAAGTCCAGAACATGCGGCCAGAGATCGGGTCTATGATGAGCCCATCAGGCAAGGATTGGTCCTTGAGAACCACGTTCTTTAGCGTGCCGTCTGCGGCAAAGCGAACGATCTCTCCTGATGTCACGCCGGGTTTGATGGCTGACAGTCCAATGTCCAACACTAAAAGGTCGGGAGTCTTTAGAGTAGAAGTCGACTCGCTAGCAGGATAGAGGCCACCCTTCGAGCACTTTGTTCCCAGTTTGCCCTGGTCCAGGTAATTGGCCTTCAAAAAGTCGACCGTCTTCTCGGGGGAGAGCCCACGTTCCTGCACATAATGACTCTCAATGAAGGCGACGGTGTCTAGGCCAACATCTAGGCAATTTATGTTAGCGAACAACTTCCCACAAAACTAGGGAGACGAGTGAAGGACTTACTGTCCATTGTCCGGCAGGGAAGACTCTTTCCCTTGATGAACAATTCATTCCACATCGAATCAATCTCCTCGGGAACTGAAACACCCTCAGCCAAGATAGTCATGACCTCCCGCTTCACAGCAGCCCACAGCCGATTGAAGATGAACCCAGTGGACTCCTTTCGTGCGACATATGGACTTGTGGCGGCTTCCTTGGAGCGCTCGACCATGAAAGGGAAGATCTCTGGGGCAGTGTGTCCATCGGTCATGAGCTCCACAATCATACACGACGGCGGCATATAATAATGCATGTTCAGAACACGCTTCTTGGTGGCATCCGAGATCTGACTGATTATCTCAGAAGATTTGTATGAGGATGAGTTGGAAGCCAGGATGCAGTCCTCCGGGGTGAGGGCCTCCAATTCAGCGAAAGTGGAGATCTTGAGTTCGAGCTTCTCGGGAACAGCTTCAATCACAAGCCAGGCGTTTTCAACGGCTTTCTTCATGTCTTCGAAGGCTTCAAAGGATCCGGGGATTTGCTTGGTTTTGGCGGCGTAGGATTGGACATTTTCCTGAATGTATGCAATTCCGTCTGCTCGCTGCTGCGAGCTAGGGTCTCGAATTCGAACATCGTAGCCGGCTGAAGCCCAGATACAACCTGATAGCCGAAATCTGTCAGCACTTCTATCCATTGAATAACACGCGGGATGGGATACAGACCAATTCGGCGGCCGAGTACGCCGGCACCCAGAATGGTGACTGGGCGGTTGCGGTAGTTACTCGGAGGTACCCAGTGTGATGCCATGCTGCGACGCAAAGTGTTCATCAAGTGTAAAGTGTAAAGTGTAAAATGTCAAGTGCCAAGTATACAGGGTAAAGTGTAAAGTGTAAAGTAGCCTAGTTGGTATCTTCAATCCCAGTGGCGGATGGGTTCCTTATATGCCCTATCGTTGCCGCCATTGTCACTTTGCCATCTTGTACCACCCTCGGAATACCAGTATCCACTATCCCGACCGAAAGGAAGATCAAGGGGACATCGGCCCCGCCAGCAGGCCGAGGATCGGTATCCTAATTCGATCCTCGGAAACTCCCGGGCCGTGGAAATATGATGAACAAGGAAATTCTTCATCAAAAGAGGATTTATGCAGGTGGATCTACTAATCCCACATTAAGGCAATGCTTAGTGTGTGTGGACCAAGTCGATCTCTTTGTTGAGATCCACTATGTTATGGAGGGCGATCCCGAGGTAGTTTACCTCGGAACCCATATAGAATCCCCTGGGGGTTAATGTTAATTAGAAATTTTTGATAGGATAGAAAAGAATAAATGGCGCGTATGGTTCCTCTAAGACTACAATATAAAGCATTTGCCTCTAGTTCATTATCGCGCTGAAAGCACAACCGTCATTGATATTGCATCCTTCCATACAAAATGGCATCTTTGAAACAATTCGAGGCGAGCGAAGTAGCAGCTCACAACACAAAAAACGTTCTTTTTGTCATCATTCATGGAAAAGGTAATCTTTCCCTCCTTGAGCTACCTTGTTCAATCTTCTAACATACCCAGTGTACGACATCACAGACTATGTGCGAGACCATCCCGGTGGTGCGGATTTGTTGGTAGATGTCGCCGGCACAGATGCAACAGTTGCGTTTGAGGATGTCGGTCACTCAGAGGATGCATCTGAGATTCTGGACACATACTTGGTCGGCAATGTCAAGGATGCGCACGAATTTGGCCCACCCAAAAAGGTGGTTCGTGTAATCAAGCCAATCTCTTCCGTTGCGGAGACACCTAAGAAGTCATCAATCACCCTCAAAACCGCGAGCACAATTACTGCCACATTTGCTGCAACTGCACTGGTTTACGTCTGTTCGAAGAATCACCGAACCCTGGCCGACTTCTGCACTAAGCACTCCCCGGCGTCCCCACGGATCTCCGAGGTGCGTGTTCCATTCGGAAACATTCTGCATGGTGGATTCTTCAGTGGATTCACTGCTGCCACTCTGGCTTGCGCGACTATTGGCGGTGTTATCGGAAACCAACTCTCAAAGTTCACCAAAGTCGACTCTGGTTTCACCAAGTACCCTCCCCACATGAAAGCATCGACAATCAAGAAGCAAGACCCGCATCTTGTGAAGGGCTTCCTAGAGCCCAAAGTCTACAAAAAACTCCCGCTCGTCCAGAAAGATCAACTTTCGCCCAATGTGTACCGCTTCGTATTTCAATTGGCCAATCCACGGGATGTGATTGGACTCCCAATCGGCCAGCATGTTGCTATCAAAGCCATGGTCAACGGGGCCGCTGTCTCAAGATCTTATACTCCGACATCCAATAACCTGGATCTTGGAAAACTGGAGCTAGTCATCAAATGCTACCCAGATGGCATTCTCACAGGCCAATACCTTGAGTCCTTAGAAGTCGGCGACAAAGTGGAATTCCGGGGCCCGAAAGGCGGGATGAAATATCACAGTGGTCTCTGCAAGAAAATTGGTATGATTGCCGGTGGAACCGGAATCACCCCGATGTACCAACTTATCCGGGCGATTTGTGAGGATGATCGTGATACGACTGAAATCAGTCTGATCTACGCCAACCGGACCGAAGAGGATATTCTTCTTCGTCGGGAATTGGAAGCCTTTGCGCGAGGATATCCCAAGAACTTCAAGCTCTGGTACATGCTTGACCATCCCGATGAGAATTGGAAATACGGCAAGGGATACGTTACCGCAGAAGTCATGGCTGCTAGATTGCCTGGTCCAGCATCTGATACTAAGATCATGCTTTGTGGACCACCAGGTATGGTGAATGCTTCAAAGAAGAGTTTGGTGGCTGCGGGCTTCACAGCTCCTAGTGCTGTCGGAAAGATGACCGATCAGATCTTCTGCTTCTAGCCCCGGAGAGTGGTTTGATTACATAATCTCTCTGTTTGTTTCATGTTTATAGTTAGATGTTGTATATTAGAGTTAGAGGAACTTAGAGCTGTTTGTGAATTCAATATGTTTCTATTTTGATATATTTTTGAAAATGCTTCATCTTAACTTATGTATATAAGTCGTAGATTACTACTTGTAGCCTTATTCGATTATCCCACAGGCCATAGCCGCCAAGTTCTTCTTTCATCGATATATTTGCTTCATACACCATGTCCCTTGTCATACATAGGAAATTCCTTTGTACAGTTTATGATTTTTACTTATATTGCGGAGTGTGACATGTCTACTTCGTAATATTATCCATTGTCCTTTAAATTGTAAGGAAAATCTCTGAACAATTACATATAGAAAGCACTCTTGAGAAAAAGCATCAAAGCAAGACATCGGAGTGTTAGGACATGTAACATCCATCCCTTCCAAGTATAGCCAGGTGTCACATACGTGGCCACCTGCTCTTGTATTTCTTCGTTCTAGACCTTTCGAGAGGTCTGTACTTAGAGTGGAGTCGGAATAGAGAATAATATCATTTCGGGATCACATCCTCATATCGAAATGTTCCGTGGGATCCTGTGCCTTCTGTAGCTGGTTTGGATTCCGAAAGCTACTGAATAGGGGTATATTCTGCTTAGATCCACAGTTGACAGCTACCTAGTTACCTATGTTGTCCATACGTTCCGAAGATGAGTAATGTCTGGTTTACAGACGGAGTATTGAAAATAGATAAACTATATTGAGCTAAATGTATTTTGCAGATCACCGAGGAACCAGGCCGTTCCGAGGTACACGGGAGACATCCGAGATAGAACAGAGCCCAATCGGAAAAGTCCATTTAGACCCACAACCCGAGGAAATAAATTACCGATCTATGAAACGGCCGGGATCTGTCGTGATGACCATTGTGCAGTTGATATATAAGTTTAGGGTCCTGGATTGAACTGGCTAGACAACAAGCACTCAATCACAATGTCTGCAAAGCAATTTTATCTCCTTGGAGAGCCAGTCTCCTCCGCCAAGAACATCGATGTCGACCCGAAAAGTGATTTGGGTGGACTCAAGGATTTGATTGCAGCTCACTTCGCAATCGTTGAGCCAAATGGTAAGTTTGAAGAACTTATTCTGATTTCAGGTGGTAATGACTGACGCGTGATAGGCATCGGTTTCGAAGCTCAAGACTCCCAGCTGAGCGAAGTCTCGGAGATCACTTCAGCCACCACTCCCATCGCCGTCACCATCGATGGACAAGCGGTCCGTGATCCTCCTGGCCCGAAGGGTCTCCCCTATGTCGGAAATTTCTTCGAAGTCTACCCAGACCATCTTGGAAACCACCAGCGTCTCTTCGAACAGTACGGACCGGTCATCAAGACAGTCAATCTGGGCCGCACGACTTATCAAACCAATGACCCCGCTATCTCCGCGATCGTTTTTGCCGAATCTGATTTTTTCACAAAGAAGATTAATGAGGCCCATCCACTCTATCCTCTAAAGCAGCCTAGCGCTGGTGTTTTCCTTGGAGATACGGATACTCCCGAGTGGAGAGTCGCCCACAAGTTTTTACCGCCAGCTCTCGGCCCGAAGGCCGTTCGTCACTATGCACCAACAATGCAGAAGACAGTGGAGGATGCCCTCAATGTTTTCGATAAATTTGATGAGCAGGGTGAAGCCTGGAATGTGTATCAGTATATGCTGAAGCTCGGAGCTCAAGCAGTGGGCAAGCTCACGCTTGGCTTGGATTTCCACCACTTTGACTCTCCGGACGCGAATTTGCATGAGATGGTGCATTTGATTGCTGAACTTCTTTCTCTCAATAAGAAAGTCGCATCCAAGGGAGATTGGTATGGTAAACTGCCATTCGGTGATCCACAGCGGCTCCGAACAATCAAAGACAGAATTGCAAAGATGGTGGAGGAATCCATTCAGAAAGCTGCACGTGGTGGTGTTGAAGACCTACCGCTTCAAGATGCAGCGCTGACAGCGTCTAACATGGTCGGTAAGTGGCTATCATATATCACTGAATCCCCTACTTATATCCATGGATGCTAATAAACGCTTCAGACTATGCCATCCGTGCAACCGACAATAAAGGTGAAAAGCTACCCCAGGAAAGCTTGATTTGGGCTCTCGTCGTCGCAACCGCAGCCGGCTTCACGACGACCAGTTCACTTCTTTCCTGGCTCATTTACGGCCTTGTCACGTACCCAGGAATGCAAGACAGGCTACTCCAAGAACTCGTTGACAATGGCATCGACGAAAACACCGAGATCACAGCAGACGTTACAGAACGTCTCGATTTCCTCGATAAGTACATCAAGGAGACCCAGCGTCGCCACAACCCGAGTTTCCAACCGGGACGAACCGCTAAGGTCGACCTCGTGCTTCCGGGAGGGTACAAGCTCGCCAAGGACTCGGTTATTCTCCCGGCGCTGCACCACATCCACAACAACCCCGACCTGTGGGATAATCCTTACCAGTTCAACCCTGATCGCTGGGACACCGAGGCGGTCAAGAACAGACATAAGGCTGCGTATATTCCATTCGCCACCGGCCCGCGTATGTGCATTGGGTTCAACTTTGCCTTGCAGGAAGTTAAGGTTTTCCTCCCCAAGCTCATCTTCCGGTACAAGTTCACTCGGGAGGGCAATGACCCCATCGAGTATGACCCCATGTTCCAGTTGATTCGCCCCAATAACCTCTATGTTCGTGCGGAGAAGAGGGTGAAATGGCCTCCTAAGACGGAGACATTGGCAACAGCGGATGTTTGAGGGCATCCCAGCATAGATGATAGATGTTTAAGTAACAGGCTTAGGCAACAGCAATTGGTTTGAGAATAGAATGTATATGAGAATAGAGAATGTATATATTATTTCGTTTATAACAAAGAACTTCCCGTCTAGCAAAGCAAAGGTTTTTCTTGAGATGTATAAGGGCGATTCCATCGGAAATTGTATTTGACTGGAAAATAGTATACTCGTGGCAGACGGTCTTTGCAAGATGAAGCATAGCTACCAATGACTGCATAAGACTCAATGTCTTGACAAAATGCAGTGAAGCTATAAACGGATATTCATTCTCTCAAAAGACAAAGTGAGGGATATGGAGGCACCGTAAATGTCACATATTCAAAGACTAAATCCGTAAGATGGATACACTAGAAGAGAGGTATAATGAAACGGGGACTAAAAGGCACCAAACCGAAGGCATGTGCAATATAGATAAAAATGCCCGAAGAATCCCACCTGGCATTCAAATTGCAGAAAAATGAAGATCTCATCTCATGTCATCATCTTCTTTTCATCGAATAGTACAAATGACAAGATTATGGATCTGAAGTAGTAGGCTTTGACTCAGATGATTCTGGTGGGTCATTTGCTGGCTTCAGCACTGTGCTTTGCGGGCGCCACTTGGTGAGGACCTTGCCGGCAGCAGGTCGGGATTCCTCGTCTGTTCGCATGTTAGATATATATATTATCAGTGGATATTAGGGAGGGGGTATATTTACAAGTCTGGTAGACATCCTCTACTGTGTTCAAGCACATCTCTCGTGCTGGAGGTCGGAACATAATCAGGTACCTAAAAGGAAGTCAGCAAGGGAGTTCATGATAGTGGAAAAAGTGGACGATGACATACATCAATGATTGAACGCAAAGGTTCACACGTTCCGGATCTTTGGCCAAGCTGGCCACCCGCTGAGTGATAGGAATTGTGATCTCAGGGACTTCACTGAGAAAGCGGACCAGCACCTTGATATCTCGAGAGTCCAAATAAGCTAGGAAACCATCCAAAAGTCGGGTGGCCCAGGTATCGTAGTTAAGAGCTACAGTCGGCTCCGAGTCTTCCTCGGTGTCATCCCGTTGATTGGCAGCACTCTTCATTTGAATTCGGTCATTATACCACTCTTCATTGAGCCAGATAATGGCAATGTTAAGTCGTCCTCGGAAATCTTCCAAGATGAACCGATAGAGCGTTTCGCGGATCGAGTCGGCAATAGTTGTTTGCCTACGTACGGCGTCTCCCTTGGTTGGCTGGTCATTTTCGAGACCGGCAGGTGCCCGTGTAGCCAGCCGAGCAAGAAGAACAGACCATGCGTCCCGGTCAAATGTACTCCCTGCTAATCTAGCGAAACCGAGCTTTTGTTGGCTTTGACCCTTGGCAGGCGCAGGCGATGTTTCGGCTGCGTTCAACATTCCGAACACACGCGCAACAGCACTCCGTCCGATTTCTCCAGCCTCTTCTTCGCTCAATGGAGGTGGCTGTGGCAGGACAAAGGGACCCAAAGAGACCAATTCTGGTTGTAGATCTGCTACCTCCGCCGCAACAGCACTGGCCTCTTCTGAAATAACAGATGCTACGTCCATGGGCTGGTATTCAGGCTCATAGTCATCATCCTCATCTTGGGCTGCTGCTCTCTGTTGTAGCTGCCGTTGCAAGTTTTGATCCTTTGTGATTGTCTGATATCGAGTACGAACAGCCTAGGTCATGTCAGCAAAGAATAAAGCTTCACTCCTATGAAGGTACTTACATCGACAGCTTGTGCAAGTGTTGAATCATGTACTTGCGACAAGAGCGGTACAACAATCTTGAGGACTAGATCAATTGGCAGCTGTTTTACGTCGAAGGAGGAAAGTCCGGTGTCCTCGGTCAAGGTGAAGAGTCGGTCAAAGCTTGCAGGCCCCGGTGCCATTGGAGGAATCTTGAGCATCGGGGGAGGCAAAGCATTGAGACGCGCCCTCTTAGCGTTGTCAAGACCGTCGGTAGGTTCATTTGGCAATCCACGTTTCCGCGAAGCGTCGTCAGTGGCCTCAAGTCGTGATTGCATTAGACGTTCAATGTACATTTGCATCCGACCCGCTAAGGGGTGGTTCGGGTTCCTATGATAGTCAGGTCAAACCACATCTTTCGCAGCCAGGATGACAACATACTTTTTCAAGATATTGATAAGCAGAGCTCGAGCTGTGCGCTCCATGGACTTGACGCTGACGCGAATTGTTGGAGTAAACGGCGCGTGGACGTGTTTCGCGGGATAAAACTCCAAAATTGTGTTAATTATCTTGTTTGCTACGGACTGACGTGTCCGGATGAGAGGGGCGAGGCAGTTTAATGTCGCATTCACAAGAAGAGCATCACTGGTTTGTGTTAGCATCTTGATGAACTCGTAAAATAAATTGATCCTCATACCTAGTCTCTTCTTGGAAAACGCCGAGCAGTCGATCGAGAAGACCTGAGGATTCCGCTTCCAGGTTCGGTATTGACAGAACAGCATGGTTCCGGGGAACAACGGCCAAAGACGTCTCGTTCTGGTCCGGTCGCTGATTGAAGTTAGTATCGACACATCCAAGTCTGTATAACTCGCCAAGCATACCCTGGGGTCCGAGATCAATCCAGGCGTCTGAACCTGGACCACACGCTGGATGAACTTGGCACAGCAAAGCTTAACCGGGCATGGAAACGACTCCATTCTCCTAAGTATATCTTGCTTAATGGCAGTCATTGTCTCCCATGACTTGCTATCCTGTGGATGGTTCACTCTGTGTATTGTTAGCCCTGCACGAGGTTTACGTTTGTAACGCGCTCGTGCGTCGCAGCCACGAAAGATTGGGAATAACCTACACATGTCTGAAGACAAGAGGATACAAGCTAGCTGAAGTCTGTACCAAGCTCTGTAGGACTGTCGTGTCTGTTTCCGGCAACTCTAGAATCTCGCGGATTGTCTGTAGGACATTCGGTGCCAGCTGCTCCTTCTGCGCAACAGCTAACATTGGGCTAGCAAAGGTTTCTGCCAGGAAGTTTGCACCCCATCTTCGCAATTCCAACCGTGTACTAGCTCCGACGATGGGAAGGATACCGTTGACGATCTGCGGGTAGAAGGCGGCGTCGCCGAGAACGAGACTGCGGGCAGCATTGAGCTGGGCGACCTGGTCGATGACATTGTCCATGGGCTGAGCCATTCTAGCTCTAATGAGGAGGTATCCGGTACGCGACGGACGTGTCGGATTCGAGTTGGTAGACTAGGTGTTGGGGGAAGGGAGGACGTTGATGGGTGGATGGAGAACACGGATGCAGTTGCAAAAGCAACGCGCATAAGCTTGGTTTGCGATCTCAGAACTAGGAAATAGCGGCAAAATAACTCCGAAGTTGGAGAGTGTTAGTGGTTATGCGATGGGTGCTGAAGGAAGGGCGATTGGGAAGTGAAGTTGATGGTCGTCAAAGATGCGACAAAAGCTGCGAGGCCTCAAAAGGGCGGCTAACAAAGCCTCCGATGTATGTGAGCTCCGTATCTCTACATAAACTTGATGCACTGAGCTCAAAGTCTCTGTATGCTTCAATTGCTCGGAATTTAATACAGCCAGTGTCTCAATTACAATCAAAAGGCTCGATCTAATCTCAATAGAAACATCTAAACTCGCATCACGTTGTCTGGGCCTCCAACGCCAAGACTTTTCCTCCGGGTCTGCCTTATACCCTCAACTTTCTTGTCTCTCACGTCTCTCTTAACAAACATTCCCACCATGGCTACCGGAATGTATGTATAGTCTCTATAGACTCAGAGAGGTCTCGTCTTGCTAACATCATGCTCTGTGCCAGCTTCAACTCTACCTACTACGGCAAGGACTACCGGGCCGGTGCCGCCCTCCTGCGCGCCCGCCGCCCATATCTGTTTAAGAATACCCTCACAGGCTTCGGACTGTTCGCATTTACAATTGCAGTCTGTGAGTAAACCCTGTGTCCGATACCGATGTTGTTCCGCTTCAGCGCTGCTTTATCTCCGAACCGCAGACGATCATGCCACCAGGACTTGGCCGCTGAGAAGCGGGCTCGGTATCTACAAGAGACAGGATCCCATGCTAATACGGCTTCTATTTTCAGATACATACACCCTCAAGGCTGTCGGCCAAGAAGACTTTGCCGATGTCAAGGTCCCCGATGCCCCCGCGGACAAGAAATGAAGCACACCCAACATACCGGTACTTGGGGATCGGTTAACGCTGCCATCGGGGTTTTGGAGTCTTCAGGGAGACCTTTTTTTCAGATCTGTAGGATTAGCGATAATATCAGCATTTGTGCTGCCGTGCACAGAAGGAATTTGGAATATAGGCTGTACAATGAATTTCGGCTACGGATGTGATTTCTATGTGCCCTACCAACTCCAAGAAGAAACCCCGACATCTCCTCGCTACTCCAACTCTGAATCGCCAATGTCACGTAGGTGAAGGTGACAGGCAGAGTTCTATAATAGCCTTCTGAGAAGAAAGGCATTGATATATAGATTAGGTAACTAGACCTAGAGTATATTGGTATGGTTTTGAAGCATAGTACAAATGACCTGCTATGCCGGAGCGAATCACAACAGCCAACAAGACAAGAAAACTCAACGTGAATCTAGAAAACAAATCTCTACTCGGTTCGCAGAACACGAGGGCCCTTGTGCTTGGTGGCACGCTTGCGCTTGAGGCCCTTGTCGAAGGCAACTGCGTTGCTATGATCACGGCCGAGGTTATCCAGGTCCTTGACCTTGTATAGACGAACGATCCAGTTCTCGCTGGTGAATGCCTCTTCCAGTGTGTTGAGTTGTGGGCTCTCCTTGGGAAGTTTTGTGTTACGGACACGGTCCATGGCCTGACCGGCCGGGAAGAGCGACTGGAAGTTGTGATAAGACATCTTGTACCTATTGATGGGGTTAGCAGTAACTTGGATAATCAAGATGTGAGGTTCTTACATCAGGCTGTTCTTCATGGCGGGAGTGGCTTCTTCGTCGACACGGTACTCGCCACGAGCGGTGAAGTAGTCACGCTCTTTCACCTCGTCTGGCCAGATACCCTCGGCAATACGAACCATCCAGAGGAACTTGTTCAAATCGTCACCTGAGTAGCCGAGTAGTCCACCAAACACGACCAAGACGTAGTCGACATCGTGCTGTCGGAGAATGGGGTAGCTAACTTCCTCGCGCGAGCTCATTGCCTTGCCAACAGTAGCAATATGGGTGTTGTTCCAGGTGTTGTTGTCGACCAGGGTGGGGCGGTCAGCCATACCACCGATTTGGTATCCATAATCCCACCAGGACATGATCTTGGCATTGTCCGGGGTGTTCTGGCGGAGCCAATAGTAGGCCTCACGGTAGTCATCGATGATGAATTGGCTTCCATCTGGAAGCTTGCTAGCCAGGACCACGGAGGGAGAGGAGTATGCGTTCGAAGTAACCCAGGTGCAGTGTGCAACGAACAGAAGCAAGTAAAGAGTGACCGAGGCTACCACGACAGACTTGGAAAACCAGGAATAGATACCGACAACAGGGTTCCGGGTTGACCGAAGTGACTTATCCTCCGTAGTTGCCTTAGCCTTGGTTTCAGTGCTAGGGGTCGATGCAACCAGGAAGTTATCGAGGATGCATGACAAGGCCAGAGCAGCCGCAACACACACAATGGGGGTCAGGGTGAGCATCAGACGGACCATGACACCAGCGAAGTAGCTAGCAAGGACGGAGTAGATGACCACAAAGACATGCTCATCCTTGAGTTTCTGGAAGCACATGAACACTCCGGCCGGGAACAGCCAGATGAGGAAGTTCAGGTCAAAGAAGAAGGCAGGCCAGGCGGTGGGCTGGTGCTCAGAGACGGAGGCAATAATTGGGATATGAATCTTGGCATATCCGGTATCCCACAGAGAGTAGAAGCGACCACTCCAGGGAGCAATTACCCCTGAGATTGATAGCAGGACAAGACCACCAAATCCAAGGCCAAACGTAAGTAAGACGATAGAAGTGAGGAGCTTCTGGAACTGCTTGCCGGGCAGGTAGCCTCGGATGAACTCAGCAAACGCAACCAATTGGATCAACCCAAAGACACCTATCAAATAGTTAGAATGAGACAACGGTATGGCTTAGAATCCAAAAATCTTACCAAGTGCAGACATGTGGTCACTGTTGCGAATAGGCAGGAAACCGACAAAGGGGATCTGCATGCTTCCCAATGTTCCCAGGGCGTACCATGTGGTGTAGCTGATATAGACACGGGTGCTGTATCGTCCCATGCACAGAAGAACAAAGACATGCAGAGGGATCAGGTTAGTAATGAAGACGTATCCACCCCAAGCAGAAACCATATATCCATAGAACAATGCAGTCAAGGCTCCCCACATGATCGAGCCGTTCTTCACAGCCTTGATCCAGAGGTAGAATGTGAACACCAATAGGAAAATGGCAATGGCTTCATTATCGTAGCTGCCTGCCACAGACCGTGAGATGTAACCGGGTGTAATTCCCATGAAAGCAGCGGCGAGGAGACCTGCGGAAGGAGAGTCGGACATCTCAGAGGTAAGGAGATACATCGCCAGGGCTGTTAGTCCAGAGAATCCGGGGGCGAGCATGACACAGATGTTTCGAATGTCGACGGGGATAGTGAGGAGACGAAGGATGTGGTAGATCACGCCGCTGGTCACCATCAGGCCAGGGTACAATGTGCCACCAGTGACACGCCCAAGAGGGTGCCATGTTCCTATAGCACGAGCATTCCCATCAGCCCAATGTCATTTATAGTATCATGCGGAGGACGTGCAATCACGGGGAAGGGGCCTTACGGTCATCAAACCAATCCCAGAAGCTATAAAAGCCATTTTCGATCAAGTATTTTGTCGCACGGAAGTTGAACCACGGATCGACTAGAGTAAGACGGTATCAATATCTCGTTTGTTTCGGGGGTTATCGAGGTGGCCGCCGCATTTAGTGCAGCAACACAGGGAAATCATACATTCGTGGATGATACTTTCAAATCCTAAAATATAGTTAGCATACTGATCATAAAGGATCTCAATTGGGACATACTAATGACACTGAACAAGCGGCTGGACACCGCGGCGGCGGCAATGGTACAGAGAATGATAACCCGCAATAGACCGCGCGTATTGCGGCCGGAGCTGCCTTTCAACACAACATCAAGCGAAGACGGGGCCATGATGGCCTTGAAAACGGAGCAAAGTCCAGGGTCAGAAATCAAAATAGAAACATGAAATCAAGGAATGAATTGGGCTGAGATGCCAGTGGTGAGGGCCGTGGAGAAAGATGGGAAGAGCAAGAGCTGCGCAAGGTGGTCACTTCTGAAGGTCTTGGCACCGGCCAAAGGCGCCACCTCCGATTGCTCCCCGCAATACTACGACTCATCACTAATCTTTGTTAGAGCTCTTTTGACTAGATTTTGACTCAATATACTTGCCACTATTGGGTACATCAGTATTCCTACAGCCATCTACACTTCATCTACACCTCACATGCCCGCATGGAGCTGCCTTTGCTGACCACGGAGCATCTCTCAAAGCTAGTGGCCTCCAACGCTCCACCGTCCCAGCTCTTCGAGGCCCTGTCGCGATATGAGCTTCAAGCATGCCTCATTTCTGCCAGGGGTGACAGTGCTAACACAGGCGGTAGTGACTCTACACTATTGAGCCTATTCTACTCGAGCTTCTTTCTCATCCATCTTCTTACCGACCAAGTGTTAGTTGCTTAGCGAGTACTATTGATAGTTACGACACTGCTAATGAAGCTCGGGTCCCAGGTCTGAAGCTCGTGCCTTAACGAAACGAATTCCTGAAGCACTGCTGCAACATGATCCTTCTCTACAGAACTGCTTGGCTTTACTGCGAGCGGTATGGCAGACTCAACACGGCCAGGTCTATCAGGTACTCCGAGGACTACCATGGCCAGACGTTTTGCAGCCACTGCTTCGGAGATATGAGAGTATGTTTCTCATCAAAGTGAGCTTCTTCTTTCCGCTGGATCTTAAATTGACCAATGATTCTGCAATTAGGTTTCTTCCAAGACAAGACTTTGATCGCAGTGAGCAGATCCTACGAAGCTATACGACTAGCGACAGCAGCAACCCACCTTGGTCTTGACCAAAATCTTGCCAAAGAGGAAGATCCAAATATAATATCGAATTTCACGAAATATGGATGGACATGGGATCCGGAATCAAAGCTGCTGTATCCCAAACCTATCGTTGTATCGCTCGCGGAGCCTCAGTCTTCCAACGGGATCCGCAAGGCAATGGCAATGCTGGGAACGCGTGCAGGGTAAATCTTGCTTGGAAAACGAAGGAATGTCAGTTATTTAGTAGATCCAAACCTGGACTACAATGGCTACGTCCTCTGTCCTACGGTGGGGATTCGAGGACCGAGAGGAACGCTAAAACCAACTTTGGATATTGGTCTGATACATACTGGGACAACCGGTAACGCCGGAATGTAACACGATCTTTTGCTCTTGCTTGTGGTCCAACTGTAGTGTACAGGCGCATGGCAGCCCAGGGTATGTACAGGACCCAGATAAAACGTCTAAAAATGAGAAACAAAAAATCGTTCCATCTTGCGCTCGCAATGCCACAACTCGGGGCAGATCAAACCCAAACAATCGTACAATAAGATGGAACTGAGTTGAGCAAAACATGTCTAATACCCTGGGGGAGGTGCGATTCCCGCAAAGAGATCATTGCATAGCATTCCTCCTCTATACCATCCATCATATTTAAACCTTAGCCTTCAAGAAGGCCTCCAGGTCGAACTTGGGGTCCTCGAAATTCGTGATAACTATGGAGTTTTGGTCAGTACTTCGGGTTTTGAAGATATTCGGCGGCTCCGGATGTCGTTGCATTTGTCTGAATTGCATCATCCGAGGGGAATTAAACGTACGTCCGCTGGTCTGTGTCTTGGTCTCTTGCTGGGGCTGGGTCTTCTTCTTGTATTCGGCCTTGGCCTGCTCGATCAGGCGCTCCTTGCGAGCATACTCGTGCTCGATCTCTGCGCGCTTGGTAACCGAGTTGAGAGAGGACTGGTGGTAAACACCGTAGACGAGACCAGCAACGAGAGCCGAGTAACGGAGGACCTGTAGGTTGGGAGACGTGGTTAACGGCCGTCGGGGGAGAGGGTAACCCTTAGCCGGTACTCACATTGACACCTTGGCTAGCCATTTCTGCGAGGTTTCCGGAAGACGGGAATTAAATGAGGGAATAATGTGTGTAAGAAGAAGGAACCGTGCAACAGGTGTCAACCGTCAATGGCAATAAATCTCCAGGTTGGTTAAATGGCGAGGTTCAGTTCATGTTCTGCGCGCGCGAGTTTTTCCGGACCGCTCCAGAGTTCCCGAAGACGGAGATTAGTCATCCCCCGTAAATAAACGCGCGGTGGAGGTACTACACTTGGACGTGGACGCATCTGGTCTAACCCTTTATAATTGTACAAGATGTCGATGCAACAGCGCAAGGATGAAATCCTCGCAAAGCGGGCCAAGCTTGCCGAGCTCAAAAAGCAGCGGGAGCTGCGCCAGAAGGAATTCACCTCCCGAACCAGCGTCGGGGATGCTTCAGAGGTAAATGCGGCATGTGAATGAACTACGGAGCTTATCCGGGTCTAACAACCTTCCTAGATTATCTCACCAATACCAAGCCGCGCAGAGAATAGACACGATCTTGATGACTTGATCTCTCGCTTGGTCGACCGCCCAGCGTCGGCCTCCCTCAGCCACGGCGTCGATGGCCTGTCGCGGAGAGGAAGTCGGCCAACCTCCGTGTTGAGCGCGAGCCAATTAAGCGGGGAGAATACAGATACATATGCAGCTCCGTCGCGACCACAATCCCAGTCCATTGCCGTCCAGACAACAGATGAGCCTTGGATTTCATCTGCAACGGAAGCCCCGCAGCCCCCTGAACTTGAACCCGAATACAAATCTACACCCAAACCGGAAGTTGTCACCTATAGCAAAGCTGTGCAAACAGACGGACTAGATCTCCAGCCCGAGACTCCTGAAGGGTCTGTCGCTTCGGACGATGAGGAGTCGCCCGATACTGCGCGGTCGAACAAGCGTCTCAGTCGACGAGACCGGGAGCGGGACGAGGAAATCCGACAGAAGCTTCGCAAGGAAATTGAGGAAGAGCTCCAAGCTACCAGTCAGACCGATAATAATGAGAACACAGCTGCACAGTCGGCAAAGCTGCGATATCCCCTACGCAAACTCGATGATGACGAACTAAAGGCAGTCACATCATCGAACGATTTCCTAGACTTTGTGGAGCGCTCTTCAAAGGTCATCGAACGAGCTTTGGACGAAGATTACGATGTACTGGCAGACTATGAGCTGGGTGGAACTGATGGGCATCTGCAAGAAGATGAGGAGACTGGCAAGAAAAGGAGAGCAATGCAAGAAGTGTGTCATTTCTGGGACGAACGATGGAGCAAGAACCGCATTATCAGTGACCTAAGCTTCTCTCCAAAGGCAAGTTTCTACTTCCAATACATGTGCTTTGGCTCATGCTAACCTTAACTTCAGTTCCCTGAATTGTTGCTTGCGTCATACACCAAGAATACTTCTGCTCCTCACGAACCCGATGGCCTTGTCCAGATCTGGAATCAGCACTTGCAAACTCGTCCGGAATACGTGTTTCACTCGACATCCGATATCCTTACCGCAAAATTTTCTCCCTACCATCCAAACCTTGTTGTTGGAGGCTCCTATTCGGGACAAGTGCTTGTATGGGACACTCGTTCCTCGCGCGCCGGTGGAGGCTCTCCAGTACAAAAGACGCCACTATCGGGCGGCGGACATGCCCATCCCGTTTACAGTATCTCGATTGTTGGCACACAGAATGCACACAATATCATGACCGCCTCTACGGACGGTGTGGTCTGTGGTTGGACGATGGATATGCTCTCTTACCCACAAGATCGTGTGGAACTGACTACGCCTCCCCCATCTAAGACCGAGGATCTAGCTCCAACCACCATGTCATTCCCTCACACTGATCCGACGTTCTTTATCGTCGGTACTGAAGAGGGAGTCATCTACCCATGCCACCGGTACGATCGGGCCGGTGCCAAGTCTGGCACAGACCACCGCCTAGCCTACAAGGGACATACGGCACCAATCATGTCTACCGCATTCCACCCCGGTCGTGGACCCGTAGACCTTGGCGATCTTATGCTGAGCTCCAGTCTGGACTGGAGCGTGAAGCTCTGGCGTGTGCGGCCACCTGCGACGACCGCCTCTGCCACATCCGGCATGGCCCAATCGCAAGTCGTCTCGCCCATACTCGACATTACCCGTGACGATGTTGTCTACGATGCCCGCTGGCACCCAACCAAACCTGGTGTGTTCTCTCTTGTCGACGGTGCCGGCAACGTCGAAGTCTGGGACCTCGCTTCAGATACCGAAGTGCCAGTCGCGCGTGAAGTTGTCGACAATACCCATGGCAACATCATGTCCCGAAGCCTCAACAAGGTTGCGTGGGACGAACGTGAAGGACGCCGCCTGGCAACTGGTGGCCTCAATGGTGTCGTTACAGTCTTTGAAGTTGGCAAGGGTCTGTGTGGCCTATCGGAGGAAGTGCCGGCGGACGAATGGATGGGTATGAAGCGGCTTGTGGGAAAGCTGGAACAGAAAGATAAGGATCGAGTGGCTTAGAGTTACCACTCCAATGGCTTGTGTCTTTTCCGATGATTGTCGATGTATTGTCGATGTAGTTTTCTTCTGCGGGCCGACCTTCCCCGTCTACCTTTTTCCCCGCGAGGCCCCCGTCTTGTTTGCCATATACCCCCTTCCCTTCGATCACATAATTTGTGCATGTGTATGTATCTCATCGCCATTGCAAACGTCATCATGTTCCTGGATCCTTGTTCCCTCTTCATCTCCAACTGGACTTTACCATGAAGATCGTGAAGACTAATAATAATGAAAAATATGTGAAAACAATCTACTTGCAGACTCAAGATCAGACACCACCTTGGGGGAGACGTTGCTGCCAAGAATGTTTCCCCGATGATACTCAGTACACAGCCAAGTCTGCAGATTTGGTATCTTAAGCTAGTCAAACCTTCGTCATTGACTATTTCTATACTCTTATACAAATATGACCACAACTTATTGTGCGTCTTGAAGATCTCGACCGATAAGATCGAACCAATAGCCTTGGAAGGCAACGAATAATACATGAAAAGGCTGTCCATAGCCCCCTTCTATCCAGGATTCGTTAAGACGTCAGCTCTATACATGTATGTATCTATTCTTGTTCGATATCAAGTTTTTCAATCCATCCATTGGTGGATAATATGGATCTGCAATGCCGAGATCGGTGCGAGACTATTCATAATTCTAAGAACCTTAAAACCTCCGAGACAGAACCCAAAAGAGAAAGCAAGCCAATGTGGAACCAGACCAGTTCACGACCGTTTGCCTAAACCGGGAGGTAACCAAGCTTCCGGTGAACCTAATCTATCCCATAGCTACCTCATGTACATACGTATGGGCTACATTTTCCGCGTGAACCAAAGCCAGTCAGCTTCGATATTTCACGGACATGTTCCCGCAATAGGACATGTCATGATGTCACGTTATCTGGCTTCGAGGGCCCCTTTGAGCTATTTGGGAGCGATCTCGAGGTGAGATGGAGGATGAGAGGGGGACGAATCCACGGGTAGATTTCTGGAAGGGCTCTTCCAAGATATGTTCCAAACCCACAGAGTCGGTTCTTGCGTTCCATGGAAGATCTCAACTCTAAAATAATAGAGTTTCAACGGCCATGCGCCTGGTGTTGATTTGAAGGAACACCATTCTTGCTATGTGTTCTCCATTTTAAACGTGTTCCAATGGTCGACTACGGCCCTTGCCTCATATGCATATATCTCCGGTGGGTATATTTCGGGGATTTAAGGGTTCGTTGTTGAAGAATTTTCTTATTTAATATACCATACTGTCCATTTTTCCTCGCCCGGTTATAGAACATAGAATTTCCTACAGATGAAGATTTCAATTTCCCTTCCCTCGTTATCATGGGTGCCGACTGGAACCCGGGTGGCCAACAACCATATAATGGCAATGCCATAGTGGGAGCTACTGCCGCCATTGCTGTGGTGCAAATTGTCTTCGTTGCAGGGAGGTTCTATACTCGGTTTATGCAACGGATGAAAATTGGTGTCGATGACTATCTGATCCTACTTGCCCTGGTAAGTCCCGTTCGGAGATAGCTATTTGAATATAGTTATACTAACATTTCCGCTGTCTAGGCTGCAAGTTTGGCAGAATCAGTGCTCTTTATTGTCTGTAGGTGCACGGTCTCAGCACCCATCTTGAAGAACAACGAAACTCACATATCATGCAGTGGCCAAGATCGGTGTAGTTGGGTACCACTTCGACTACATATATCGGATGCCTGATAAAGTGGCTCTCACGAGAAAGGTACTTACTCCAATACTTTGAGCTCTAAGAATTGCACTAACGACAGCACCTAGTGTATCCTTGCCTTCGAAGTCCTCGATTACCCTCTCAACATCACTATGGCCAAAATGGCCCTGTTAACATTCTATCTACGCATTTTTACAACCCGAAAGTTCCAGATTCTAGTCTACATAGTAGGCTCACTTGTTCTCGCGGTGGGGGTCAGTGTTCTCCTGGAGAACTTCCTCCAATGTCGACCATTCGCGTACATGTGGAATCGAAGCATCCCCGGTGGATCGTGCATCGATCCAGTCGACGCTTATCGGATTCTTGCCCCATTCAATGTCCTCACTGGTGTGTTAATCCTTGTGATGCCAATTCCAACTGTGTGGAATTTGCATACATCTAGAAAACAGAAACTGGCCTTGACGGGTGTTTTTCTGTTGGGTGGACTGTGAGTGATTCAAACTTTGCCATTATCTGCGCTTGAAATAAATACATAGTATTGATGGGACATTAGAGGAAATGTGGCCAGCATCTTGAGAATGGCGATGTACTTTGCCGAATCAGGTTTCGCTAAGGAGGACCCAACGTGTAAGAGCCAATCCCGGACTTGGATCGAAACGAGGACTGATCTATAACAAACTAGGGTTCGCGGCGAAATTTGGTATCCTAACGGTCCTCGAAGGAGGCTTGATTATCATCGCTGCTTGCATTATCAGCATTTGGCCCCTTTTCACTCAAGTCATGCCACGGCGAGTCATGCCCCGGCGTTTTCACACAACATTCTCTCGCTCCGCGTCTCGCAGAACTCAACACATGGCCTGGTATTTGAGAAGAATACCGACAAATAGTGAAAGCCAGGAAGGCCTTGCGCGTCCTAAAGAGGTTAGTTCGCCCAAAAAGAAATCTTGGAGTAGCTTGCCGTCCTTGCCTTCCTCGCCTTCCTCGCCTTCCTCGTTAGCAGATTTGGAGGATCAGAGATGGTCAATCCTTATGGACGAGGAGGTGAGTGGCTCTCATAAAACGGTTGCGCGGACTCATTAATAAAAAATATCTTGTATTTCTTAAGTGTATAATGAATGAGCCAAAAATGGAATTTTAGAAGCCCCCCATAAATGTACTTTGGCTTGTCTGTCGTAAACCAGAATGTATCTATATATCATAACATTTGAAAGCTTTGAAAGCGGTATCTGTATTCAATGAATACGGGTTTCGCCGAGTTTTTGTATTTGCATTTGGTCAATAAGTGTATCTGAAGCCAGACTTTTGGATTTCATTCGTTAGCAAGATCATATAATCGGCCGGCCATTGATGAAGCACACTCACTACACCCTCAAGAATCTTTAATCCTCGCTTTTGCTGTCGATTGACAATGTAAAAGTAAACCGTGAATGCGCCAACGATGGCAATGAGAAGAATGTGAGACCTGGTAATGTTGTCAGCCGGAGTCCAATGTTCAATAATTTCTGAAACCTACCCAATTGACACCCAAACTGCGGTCTGGTATTGTGGGGCTTCTTGCTGGCGGACAATAAAGCTGCCTGCTACACCCCCGAGTCCGTTACACGCAGTGACCGCCGCCGCGGTGGCCACTCGTTTCCACTGGCCGACGATATTGTTGGCCTGGAAGGCATTGAGGGCAGCCCAGTTCGAGATATAAGCACCGGTCGCCAGAAAGGTCCCAATATAACGCACTGCCACCCGGGTGGATACGGGAAGACCGAACATCAGGAAGCCAGCTATGAGGACAAGGGCATTGAAGATGATCAGCGGCCCACGCACGCGGTAGAAATCTCCAATCAATGATGTGAGAATAACCGGGATTATGGCATAATAGTAGGGCTAATAAAGGAGTTAGAGAATGCGGCGTTTATACTATGGATCAACTTACCGGTGTGGAGAGCAGAATGGATTTATTTGAGCTGAAACCCATACCGGATTGTAAGATGATGGGTAGAAAATACGACAAGGCAGTCGATATGAGATTGAGCAAGAAGAACATGATCGCAAAGCCGTAGATTTTCGGGTCCTTGAAATTAGCAAGAAGCGTGCCCCAGGAAAACGGTTCCGGGATAACATCAGCTCGATCATCCTGAATTCGGCGCGTTGCGAGGCGCGCTTCCTGGTCTGAAAGAAAGCAAAAGCTGCGCTGGGCGTTCTCGGGGAAGTCGACCATCCACCAGTAGGTGATAATACCCAGGACACAAGTAATGAGACCCTGAACAACATACATCCAGCGCCAACCCGCCAACCCGGCCACGCCATTCAGATGATTGAGACCAAAATTGACAATATTGCCAGTCGCAAGAATCACAACTTCCCCGGACTGCAAGAATGCAAACCGAAGCTGCTGCTCTTGTCGCGGATACCAGGCGCTAACCAGGTAGGTCAGACCAGGGTAAATACCGGACATGGCGATACCGAGCAGCACACGCAGGATAATCATCTGCTGCCAGTTGCGCACGAAAGCAGTGCATAGCGTCAACAGCCCAAAGGTGAATGTGATTGTCGAAAACCAGATTCGGGGACCGACAAAGCGAACTGCCACTGTGCACGGCAGCTGAAAGATCACACTGGCAATTGTGAAAATAAATATGGAGACAGAGAACCGGTTGCCCTCGCCCAGATCAAGATCATCGAGCATCGTCGTCACCGATGCTGAGGACAAAATGCCCGAGTCTAGCAAATTGAGACTGCATAAGAGCCCGCCGATGCTACACAGGCGGAGATCGACTTTCCATCGTACCCGCTTCTCTAAAGCGGCCCACTCGACCCCGCGCTCTGCGTTGAGCCTGTTTTGACCATCTTCAGGAGGAGCCTGGTCGAATATCACGCCGTCGGACTGTGCATTGGTCTCTTCAACCACTGGCTCCAAGGTATGCAGTTCTTGGGCCGTTGGTGTCAAAGTGAACGAGAATTGGCCCTTCTCTGAATCGACCATCTTGACTGAGTGTCTGAACGATCAGGCCAATTCTCGATTTCCGTAATCAGATATGTCGCAAGTTAAGTTGCTAATCCAATATTTCTTTTGTTTTTTCCTCCGACATTCCAGGATAAGAACGTGATAGAAACCGGCCGAGTAGTGCGTCTCTTAGCGCGCAAGTCGGACCTAGTCCCGAGGTCGGATTATCAATCCAGATATTTCGGAGTATTTTTTTCATGATGTGGCAGTTTATAGGGTGCAGGCAAGCCAGTCTATGATCAATCACCCAGGCTAGTACGGAGTAGACGCGTACATACTTTGATTTCCCACAGAGAGCATGTGACCCGGCACATTCCAAATTGGGCCCCGTGAGATGGCCCCTCTTTCCCACAATATATATTGCACGCTGCACGGATAAAAAAATGAAAAGTCGCATACATACAGGCTTTAACTCATGATTGAAGCCCCCATTTTACGCTTATTTTACCTGGGATTACAATCTACCGATGAATCATGCTCATCACGAATGAAATGACTTCCTTGTCTCTCACAGATGCTTCGGTTGCAGCAGAAAATGCGTTGCTTAAGGAAGAAAACATCCGACTTCGCCGACTCCTCAATGCTACAATACTATCTCAAAGGGAACACAGGGGGATGTTATTGAATCCACAATCCACTTTTGGTCCGAAGCTGTTTTGATCAACAGGGCCCAGATTGGAGATGCCCCGAGGCCATAGGCGACAACTTGGAAGCCACAAGGGATCGCATATATACGTCAAGGGGACAATTCCAAAGTTTGAGGTAGCAGACGAAGAGGTAAAGAAGCAAATGGACAATGTGAGGAAGAATATGGAGGCCTTGAGGAAGAACAAGTGTGTCCCGAATGTCTATAAAGATATCAAAACCGGGTATGGAGAGTTCGAGAGAAGATATGGAAGGTTGGAAGCAGCATATGGAGACCTGGGTGAATGATATGGACGTCTCGAAGCTCGGGGGTTTGGACTGGAATGAGCCGGAGGCTATGGAGAAGGAATTCGATGTCATTGACAGAGATATTTCTGGCAGCGAAGCTCGTGCTTAAGTGACCAGAGCAAGATAATATTGAGCGGCACTAGGGGAGGATTCATTATCCGTTTTGGCCAAGGCACGCTAATTGATTTTCTATCTATTATTACTCCGTACTATCGCAGTACTGAAAGGATTCCAAATTGGCCGGCTGATTCTACTCCGAATGTGCCCCGGGCTGACAGCTTACATACAGGACGTGGAATGGAATGTGGAACTTCCAAGGTTGGAATGGAAGCGTGAGTCTATTCAATGAGATTATCATGTTCAGGATGCCTATGTTATAGGCGTTCTTCATTATAAGATCCGAAGAGAACCAATGGGAACAAGAAGATTTAAGTTAGAGCTGCAGTTAGCGTACCGATTAGGCTAAAACAGGAAAACCAAAACGAACTACGGAGTAGTACAACATACATCTGTAGGTACACATCAAAATAAAATAAAAAGCCAGGTACAACGGAAATTGAGCCATCAACCCGATTGAACCACGGGACGCAGTAAGCTTTGCGGGTGATTGCTCTGTTTGTTGCCCCACGTTCGGTCGAATGGAGCCCGGGGAGCTTGCAAAATATTGCCTTGGACTTCCCCCACACTTTCTATTTCCTCTCTCTCCGCATTTCATAACTAAACTACACACCCATTATGGTCGAACTCATCAACCCGCCGGAAACTCGCGAACTACTCCCTCCCCTCCTCGCATGCCTCCCACTGGCCTTTGTCTCACCCCGCGCACCCCCAGCTCTGTTACCACTTCTCTCCCCTATCCTGCGTCAACGAGTCGGGGTTCTCAGTTCGCTATCCACATCTTCCACCGAGTCATGGCTGCAACTTCTGTGCTGGGAGGCTGGGAAAGCAGAGCGTCTGCAGAGGGTCATTGACGGTGCCACCTTCGAACCACACCCCGTATCGGGCGAAATCGAGCTTCCGGATGAACTTCCGGTCACATACAAACGGATCGACGATGAGACTCTCAAAGCACAAGTTCCGCTCTCCGAATACAGTTTGACGGTGGTCTATTTGTGGTGCCCGACAGACGAGGAGGGAGGTGGTCGTGGCTGGCGAGTCGCAGAGCTTTTGCCGCGGGAGGGAGCTGCTGAGGATGACGATAAATGGGCTTCTTCTATTTGGGAGGCAAACATTCAGGCAAAGGACCAGCTCCTGACTGATATATTAAAGGCTGCCGAGGAAGAGAAATCCCCGGAGAACAGCATGGAGAACGACGACGACGACGATGACTACTGGGCTCAGTACGACTCCACACCCGGAGCCAAGACACCCGCACCGCCTGCTGCTTCATCAAAGCCGGGTCCATCTCACTTATCTGAGCAGTCGTATTTCTCGCAGTATGGCGACGTGCAGCCGGCCATGGATAATCATGATCCCACGGAGGAGCAACCCGAGGTTGGTCCATCATCGCTCAACGGAGATATGCTGGCCAATCTCTTGCGACGACAGGTGAACGGAGTCAATTCAGATGACGAGCCCCGCAAGAACGGATATTCCCCAGACCATATCCCCAGTGATAAGGCTGCGCAAGATTTGAACCACCCACGCCCGGCCTCTGCATCTTCCGGTAGCTCTGATGCTATCGCTAAGCTGGAACACGAGGCAGAGAGCCGGTCCACCTGCGAGGTTGGAGTGAAACAACATATCGGTACGAGCATCAAGAGTTTGTTCCGCTTGGCAAAGGTCACTGGAATGTCCCGGGGGAGTTCCAGGCATTGGTTTCGATGGAATTGGAGCTTTTGGATATTACGGATGACGATTAAGGCTAAAATACTTGAGTGATACCCATGAATCATAATTTTTGCTTGAGATTTCGTGTTCATATTTGGACAATCCGTTTTGCATATGTTGGCAATAAACATCATTGGGAGTGAATGGTTTGCTTTGGGCATCTGATATTGTTTTATTTAAATACATAAACCACAATAAACAACTCCACACTACCTTAAATCCTGCACAGGTGACGCCATCTCGCATTGCATGCCCGATTAGGCGTAGCGCATCCCAAAAACCAACCTTAGAGAGACCATGGATGCTGCCTAAATCGATG